TCAATCAATCAATCACATCAAATCGAAATAAAAAAACTGGCAAAAATTATAATATCTTTAAACTGAACCAATTAAAAATTATAATTGTCTAATTGTTTATAATTTCCATAGACTTCATAGAAATTATTGAAATAATAAAAAACATGGGCAAATATTATAATTAAAATAATTTAATTAAGTTTAAATACATTTTGAGTCGTAGTTATAAAAATAATTTTATATTTGCTTTCTGGATTTTTTTCTCTCCAAATTTTCAACAATCAGTTTTTTACGGGTCAACGTTTTACAATATTTCACTTGTGCAAAAATAATTGTATTTGCGTCGACTTGCGTCAAGATTATTATCTTTTTGTTTTCCTGCGTGGTCACCTGTTGGGTGTTATATACCTTTCGCTCAGGTATTGCCTCTTCGTAAATAGGTTAGGGGTTAGGGGAGATAAATATGCAAGCGTGAATGTTTTGTTTGAACTTGCAATGAAGGTGAGTTGCGTCAGTACTCGCAAGCTAATTTTTTTTCTTTTGGAAATCCCCCATAAAGATGTTGCCTGGCGACACACACTCATGAGAGAGGAGGCTGTCGGGAGAAGCTTTTAATCGTACCCAGAGATTTTATTCATACCTGCCGCATGTGGCGCTCTGTATAAATCTTGTAAATAGTGCCAGGAAACGTGGCGCGGGGTTTTCAATAAGGAAATGACCTTATTTCTTTGTCTCTGTTTTTACCTGTAAAAGGAAAAAAAGGAGTCCTCGGCGAAACATGAATATAAAATGGCAAATTTGGGGAATTTTTTTAAATATCTCGAGAAGGTTCGATGAACTCACTACTCTTTTGAGCCTGAGAAATTATTTTTTACTTTTCTTTTATCTTGTTCTCACAGCGCTCATGAATAAATTCTTCTTAGAAAACAAATAAAATAATTAAAAAAATCATTTTCCCAAAAAAATATCGGATTAATTAAAATTTTATAAACAGGAAAAGTTTTTTTTAAATGTTAGTATGTTATTTTCCCCATTTTTTTTTTTTTTTTTTTTTTTTATACTTTCAAATCCATAGACGGTTGTATGGGTTGTATAATATCCTTCCCTTCGTGATGTATAAGTAGTGGCAAAAGGGTTATTTTGGAGATACCAAAGTGTGATTGAAAAAATTAAAAAAATAAATTATGTTTAAGGTTGACACTAATCTTACGTAAACACAAAACGTACAGGAAATAGTCTCAAAGTCTTAAAATAGTAAAAATACCAATAAAAGAATTCTGAAAAGCAATTCTAAAATGAAAGAAGTCGTGATTTTTTTCTATAGTTTTCAAAAATTTAAAATCAGAACGCATAAATTTTTCCATTTTCAAAAACTTAATTCTTTACTTCTAACGTTGCCCGCAGAGAGTTCAGGAAGGAACAATGCTATAAAAGAATTATGTTTTTTTTTTAATCGGAAACGCCTTGCACCTGTTTTGGGCTTGGGACGCAAGTCACGAAAAGTTGCCCACACTTCAATTAACGCGCGCAATTACTTGATAAATTTTCGTACGAAAAAGCGGCAGTGGTGTAATGCAATATTAATTAAAAGTGGCGTCGTCAGGCCTGTTGGTTTTTAACGCTCGTCGATGATGTTTTTGGGCGTTCTCGGCGCTGCGCGATTTTTTGCTCTTTATTATGTCACGGTTGTGCGCTTTCTTCTTTCTTCTCCGCTGGCTGTTGTGTAAAAGTAGTCGATGCGAAATTGCCAGACGCGGCCATATTTTCGTTTTCGTCAGGGCAATGAACGTGAATCCTCCGTTGTTTTCTCAAGCCTCCGTGCACAGAACCGCCGCGCGCGGGCACCGGTATACGTGGAAAGGGCATTTCTCTCTTCTTTCTTTGCGCTGCCACCACCGCAGGTTATTCTCTCGCATATCATGCAGAAATAATTGCCATTTCTCGTGTTTTTGCACACTCCATGCCTTGCACTTTCCGAGAGCGCGAAATAAATGAGAAAAAAATCACCATTCGGAACTGAAATGCTCACGTGATTTGATATGATCAGCGCAGAGATTAAAAGACAAAAGCGCTGCTGGATCGCAAACGCGCACTTCCGCGTTTAATCAGCGCTTGTTTATCTCGATTTTGAGTGCATTATTTGAAATTCAGGAGTTCGCTCTCCCGGAAAATGCAGCGTTGTTATGTTTATTTATTTATTTTTGGCGAGCGAAAAGTACCGCTAGATTCGGAGTCTCTCTATTAAAATATACCAACTTCACTTCCAAATAATTACGATTCCTAGAGCGTTTTTCTGAAAGGGTAAGAGAGCCGGTCGTTGGCGCGGCTAATAGAGATGGAATTTTAATGTCCCATACTATTATTATTAAATGCCTGCCGGGTTTTATACTTAACTCGCCGGGTAATTATACACTCGGCGTCGACGTACAACGTGCAAGGGCCCCGGGAATACAGCTTTCGTTGAAAAATCATTTTTTTTTCATTTATGTTTATTTAAAGTTTTCTTTGGTGTCTAACTGGCTCTGTCGGCACAGCATTTGAAAAACATACCATAGGGTGATATCAAATGGTTTTCAATGTTCAGCTTTTATACTGGTTCTGGTTGATATAAATTAAACACTGACAGGTTCATTAAAAAAATCATGTAAGCTGAAACAGCAAGCCAAATATGTGAATAAGACGCAGTAGTTTTTATCTGCAAAATATAAGGTAATAAAAAATGATGAAATTTGACAATTCGTGGAGTGAAGAAAATGAAATAAAAAAAATACCCAATTACTGCACAATAATTAAGAAATATATGAGCTGAAGATAAATTTTGCAAATCTAAAAATTAAAATTTATTCCAAAATTAAACCAGCTTAAATTTTGAAGTGAATTAGAATACCAAAAGGTTAAATGTAAATAGTATCATTATTTGAGCTTTATACTTCTTCCGTCAGGTAATATAAAAATAATAAAAAAATTTAATGTTTAATTATTTTCCAATCAAAATATTGTGTTGCAAGGTTTCTTCATCAAGTGAAAAATAAAGATTTATTAAATTTATGCAAAATATTTTTTTAAATTTAATATATTCACTATATCATGTATATTTTTAGAAAAGGTGAAATTTTACGGTGGGGTTGTTCGACAGTAAAACTGAGCAAAAAATTGCATAAAAAAAACGGAAGAAAAAAATCGAAAATTTTCAAAGCTTCAAAGAAATATTTATAAAAATTGTTGATTTTTAAAAAGATATTCCCCTGTACAATGTTGGAAAGAAAAGATTAAGGCAAATGATAGAACCTCTCATGAAATTAAAATGCGCGGTTTTCAGTTTTATAATAATTCTCCATTTCGTCAAACTTGGGAATTATACACATCAACTCTTTGTTGCGCGCGTCGTCGTTATGCTTCTCTTTCGCAGGCATAAAATAGCGATGATGACAGAGAGAAGTGAGAGAAAGGCGCAACAATAGCCACCGAGAGCGGTTTTGCTCAGGGTTCATGGGAACTGCTCTCGCGCTCCGCAGACTACCTTTTTCCCAGGCAAACATTCAACCAAACCGAAATGGCAAACTGCGCGTGTGGCTGCGTCCAATTTCATATCGGCCAGTTTCAAAGGGAAAAACAAATTTTCCACCTCACAGCGACTTGAAAAACAGAAAATTTCAGGGACACCTCCTGGGGAGAGGCGGCTGCCGCGCCTCTGAGGGATTTAAAATCTGAAAGTTGATGGGATGGAAAAACGCATTTGCTGCTGTCAGCGCGATGAGGAGGAAAACCAAGCAAACAAATAAAAAAGCCCCTTAGTGAGGAATCTAGGTTATATTTATGGTGGACAGGACAACCTTTCCTGGGATTATATTCTTTTTCAGGAAATATGCTTTTTCTTTTCTTTCTCTCCCCTTTGGTCAGACCCAAGCTCAGCACAACAAAATATTTCCTTTGTTGTTTTGCTCTCCCTGGGCATTTCTATTGAGAAAGGTTTTCTTTTTCGCTCGCTTGGGCTTTTGCCTGCTTGTTCAGCCGCTGTTTTTCTTTTTTCCTAGTGTGGAAAGGGGATTCTTTTTCCTGTCCTTCATGTCTGCATCAGTTGTAAATTTAATGCGCTTTTGTTGCGGTTGGGAACCTATATCTGATGCAATGCAGAAAAAAGCACCACAATTCTCGCTTGTATAAAGCCCGAGCGTGACGCGGCGTTTGTAAAATTTTAAAATGACAGCAGCTCCTCTGAAATTCTTGAGAGGTGAATAATTCTGGAATGCCCTCATAAATTCGAATGCTAGGGTAATTCACGACCTGAGCCAAACTAAAAGCTTTACGCTGTTCAATTCCATCAAGTTTTATTTTATGATTTTTATGACATGACAAGTCCCACTCCTTTTTACCCATAATTTTTTTTCTAATTGCTGCAATTAGAAACATCTAGGAGGTCAAAAATAAAGAGATTTTCAAAGAAAATAAATCATGTTCGCGTGTCACTTGCTTTTAGCCAAACTTCAAAGTTGGATTAATAATTTAAGTTATTTAATCATTAAAAAATTTGATATTCAAACCTAATAGCTCTCGAGGGGCCTAATTTTACAACACATTCCTGTCCCGCTCCTCTATTGAAGCGCAAAAGATTTGTAAAATTTTTCCCTTTTTCCCCACCCTGACAAATCGAAAAAAGTAGTATAAAAAGGTTGACATGATTGCCACTCAAGGATTTAAGATTTCCCGTGATATAAGTATCACAACCATTGTTCTCAACTTTTTATGTTAAATACCTGTTAAATACTTCAATAAATGTGAAACTTAAAATATTACATTAAAGGTTTATGGTTTTCACATTACTTAAGAAAAGGAATCTTTAAATTTTCAATCACTAATGAAATGAAATTTACAGAATAAGAAGTACTGTAGATCAAAGGAGGTATTGGGAAATCTTATATCATATTTTAAATTTATTTCCTTATATCTTTCTGCGTAAATTTATTTATTTATTCTAAATTTATGGTTACGATATGGTAATTCAAAGTAAAAGAACTTGAAACTTGCTTATTGACAAAAAAAGACTCTTCATTTATTTGCACACTAATTATGCTCGCGTTATTCGCAACTGGTCTCCAAAGCAGCGATTTTTCATTTCAAAGAGTCACAGAAGGCGAAAATTAGTGCAATGTTAAGTGCATGACGAAATTGAAGGATTTAGTTACAGCAGCTCGAGTGACAATAAGTATGAAATGAATTGATTAGTGCTGTAAAACGCTTATTCAGCCTGCATTGCCTCGCCGCCATCTGTGTTTGTATTTTCCGCCGTGTTCGCATCTTTGTTGTTGGTCTCATTTTCTTTCGGAGGATCGGCAGCGGGTGGTTGAGGTTTTGGCTTTTTAAGAACACTCACTTTTGAGTCAAAGAGCTGCAACAGCACAAACATTGGACAGATTGAGTAAATATTATATTATGGAAGGCAAAACGCGCTTATCTGCGGGCAATTATTTACACAGTGCAAATAGAGAATAAAAGGAAAACATTAAAACTTGACGCCAGAGTAAAATTAAAAAGCCAATACTTCGGTAAAGATTAAAATCCGCAAGTCAGAAATAAAGCAGAGCACGCCTTTACTCACCTTTCTTTCTGCCTGCAGAACGCTGACTGTGACTGGAGGGTCACTGGTCTTGGACGCCTTGGCCAGCAGGCATCGTTTTTCCTCCATAAAAGCGATAGCACTTTTTACTGCTTCCTCGACTGAGCCAATCTCATCAGGGGTAAAGTGGCTGTAGTCGGCATGACCAGACTTAGCCAGGCTCACCGTCTTTTCAGCCAACATGATGGAGCGGCTGAAGTCCTCAAATATTTTAGGGAAGCATTCAAACTCAAGCTTCCTCTGCTTTATTGGGTCACTTTTCGACTGCAGAATTAATAAAATTGGATTAGTTTGAAGATATACATAATATTGGTTGATTGTTTACCTTCAACTCTGAAAGGCGGTTAGCATAATCTTTCCTTTCGCAGTTTTCTCCATCTTCATAGAGCCAAGTTTCCATATTTTCAAGTGCAACAAACAGGGAGGAGAGCTCGTCTTCTTTTACATATTTAGCCAAGCATTCTTCGCTTCCGAGCTGACTCCTCATTTCATACACAAATTCTTCAAGAGCGTTTCTGGCATCAATGCGCTCATTTTCTTCATGGTCATCATTGATCATTTGTATCTAAGAAAAATTGGGTCATGTAATGCACGTTTTTTCTTTAAACAATAATTAATACCTCTTGCTTGTGGAATTCGTCAACGGAGTCAGCCTTAAGGCTGCCAGTGATGGACTGCACTGGCAATTCAGTTGTTATCGTCCTCTTCTTTTCCTTCTTTTCTTCCTTTTGACTCCCAGCCTCCTCCTGAGACTAATGGGAAGTTGAAATTAACCACAAAATCTAATTAATAATTTACCTCTCCTGCTGGAGGAGCTCCTTGCTTTTCCTCCGGGGTTGCAGCTTCCTGGTTGTCAACCTCCATTGGTTCAGGGGCACTGACTGGCTCAATAACTGTCTCGTGCATAGCAGCCGAGCTGATTGCAAAAGTCCCGTGAAGGGTCATTTTGACCTTCACCTTGATCTTCTGGCTCTCACCAGCGGCATTTGGCTGGACATCATGGATTTTATACACACCTATTTAACAGTTAATTACATAGAATGGTTTGTTCTATTTAAAAAGTTTATAATATTACCAATATTAGGATCAGGATATGGAATAGCGCCCTTGTAAAAAGCACGAAGAGCAAACGGATTGCTTCGATAGAAGGTGAGCATCTTGACGAAAGGAACGACATGCTTGTGAGGAAATACCTCAAGCTCACTAAGAGATTAAATGGTTTAATATTTTCTTCTGCTAAATTTTATATTAAATGATTTTACCTTGTTCCTTCTCCCTGTTCTGGATCCCAAGCAAGATGCACTGGGAACAACTGAATGTCAGTAATGTTAAAGTCCCTGACGCGGACAGCTGGTGAGAGCAGAGCGCACTGCAGGGCACATCCTCTAGCCACAGCCTCATCTTGATTCAAAGTGGTGCTCGGTTGGTGGCAAAAGACTTTCTGGATCAAGTTCTTGAGGGCTGGCAATCTGCTGGAGCCTCCAACAATTTCAACGGAGTGAATGTCCTTAATTTGCAGACCTAAATCAAAGCATTGTGAAACTAAAAATCAACCATTAATTTAAATTTTAACCTGAATCATCAAGGCATTTCTGCATCACTGCCTCCGCCTTCAAAAATAGGTGACTGCAGAGCAACTCCATATCATCTCTGGAGGGAAAATCTTTTAATGGATTTCTAAGAACACAAAAAAAATCACACACCTCTTCATGTCGGATTTGACGTCAATGTCATTCATAAAGCATTCAATGGCCAAAGGGAGGTTTGTTGAATTTGCAGACATTTGTTTCTTGAGTTTTTCAACTGCAGTGAGGAGCCGGAGCATTGCTCTGCCATTGGTTCGGGGGTTGATTTTGTATTTTGACACAAACTCATCACTAAAATGCTCGGCTAGAATCATGTCTATATCCCTACCGCCTAACTGGCCATCTCCAGCACAGGATAGCATCTGTAAATTTATTATTAAATTTTTTTTAAGTAATTATTGGATAAATGTTACTAACCCTAAGTTTGCCTTTTACGAAGGCAGTGATTGACACTTGGAAGGACGAGTGGCCCCAGTCGACGAAGACTACGTTTCGAGCAGTTTCGTCCGTCTCAGGCATGTCCTGCTTGTAGATGCCGTAGCACAAAGCAGTCGCCAGATTCTCGTTCATCAGTCTCAGGACATTTAGACCAGCAATGGCGGCAGCATTCAGAATAGCCTGTCTCTCGTAGCAGGTGTAGTACGACGGAACCTGGAGAAGCACGATAAGGTTAACATTGGCAATTTGCATGAGCACTTGACATTAAGACCGGGTTTACTAAGTATCCTAGCAACTGGGCAATCACAACAAATCCAGAGACCCCCAGAGCAAATTCAAGCAATTTGTAGGAAAATTTATTTAAAATTACTTTTATCGCTTGAAATATAAAAGGTTTACAAGCCTAGCTAGTTCTTTAAAAGGACAAACAGTTGAAATTTAATGGAGAGAAACAAAATTCAACGCGGTCGTAACAACTTATAAAATATTCATGAGCTTCGAGTCCCATTCACTCTTTGTCATTAAATTTTCATAATTTACTAATGTGTTGACTGAAACCCACCGAGATGACACAGTCGTTGACTTTAGTCTGCAGGCCCTTCTCTGCGATGTCCTTGAGCTTCGTGAAGAGCATGGCTGTGATCTGCTCAGGGGTGAAACTCTGCTCCTTGTCCTTGTAGTGCACCCTGATGACCAGGTCTCCGTTGGCGCCACCCTCAAAGTTGTAGTGCAGAAACTTGCGTTCAAATTGCAGTGACGGGTCGTTAGCCTTCCGGCCCATCAGCCTCTTGAAGCCGTACACCGAGTTCTTCATGTTGGTCACGATCTGGTTTTGGGCCGCGACACCCAGAATCCTGTTCTTCGAGCTGAACGCCACACATGATCTGAAAAGGGGAGACAAAAAAATTGAAATTAAATCCGTTGGCAGAGCGACGAAAATGACAGATCGACGACGCTTGGGTTGCAGCCAATTTTTATTTCATATAGGTCGTGACTAATGAAAGGGTTGATGAATGTGTTTACTTGATTAAGCGGCTTGCACGAAACGACTCCCGAAACTTTAGATAATTGGGCTGATTGAGAAAATACGAAACTGATATTTAGGGACGTGTTCTTGTATGAAAATAATCGTACATAATATAATTCATTTAACTATCATGCAAGCGGCCACAGAAACGCCCACATTGGTTGCGACCTAATCCCATTTACGGTAAATAAAGATGAATCACCAGACCTTGCTCAGACCATATGTGTTTGGGCGAGTGAAATTAAACTCGAGCACCCATTCACCAATTAAAAAGGAAATTCGAGAGAAACCGGCTTCGAATTAAACGAATTTTTGATAGAAAATAAAAAATAAAAAAAATTCAGAAAGTTCGCAACAAAATTCGGGTCAAATATTTTAAACGAACTTTTCAAACTAGGCATAAGAATTTTAATCGCGAATCATTTCTAGCCTTGCTGAACGAGTGGGGGATTTGTTAAATTAGATTTTATTAACTAATCCAGTCACGAAGTGCGACTACTTTCCGCGTTAATTAACTTACGGAGTTGCTCTAAGGCTGTAGTCATTGGCGATTGTCTCGATTCCGCCGGCCCTGGCGACCGCGATGTAACAAGAGTCGTTTCCAAAATCAATTCCGATGACGGACATCTTGGCCGCAATCAAAAATTTCTACAAGTTCAATCACAGATCCGAAATTTCGGCTTCCAAACAAAATTCAACACAGCAATGCGGCAGGCTTTTTAATCACGCTGGACAGAGAAACATGAGGTGACAGGTTCAAACGCGAAATGACGAAAATTCGAGAATTACGGCCAATCACAGCGCCCTCATACGAATTCGCGCAATCTCATTGGCCGGATGGAAGTATCTAGAATGTTCCAGAACAAGGTAAGCTCCTTGAAACGCCGGTGCCGAAAGCGGATCCAATCCAATGCCTCGTCTCCACTACACTTAAGTGCTGCCCCCTCAGTGTGAAATCACACTGAGTGCATAGTGTAGACGTACGCCATCGCCCTTAGGGAGAGAAATACACTCAGGATACTTTTGAGCGATCCTGAGTGCGTTGAGCATGCGCTCTCATCACTTGTGTACAATAACAATCGCGTATAATCGCGGCACACGCAGCCAACATTTTGTGGATTTTGGGGGTTCTTTTAAATTTTTTAGAAAAATTGTTTAATAATTTATTTTTGATACTTAATTAAATTTATTCTTATATCTTTATAAAATAAATCTTACTGCTGACCTCCATTATAAACTATTAACATAACTATATTAATTATTAATTATATTTATTATTGAAAATCGAATTTATTTATTAAACTTGTATTAGCTTAATTTTTAATTATCGGTAATAGGTCTGCTCCACAACACCGCTAAAGCGCTATATATAGCTGGCGGAAGCGGGGGTCCATAAGAAAAGCATTAATTGCGGCCAGCTCCGCCAGCTACTGCCTTTTAAAAATTTAAACAAAAATTGAAATAAAAATCCAATAAATTAAAAAATAAAAATAAATTAATTAATTATTAAAATATAATACAAAAAATTATCGGTAATGTTATAGTACGCGCGACGTGTTTTTTCATAGGTTGGCAACACTTATGCTCCCATGTAAAAGTATCACGTCGCGCGCTCTATACTGGTTTTACGTCGCGCATACAATAATGGTTTTACGTCGCGCGTTCAATACTGGTGGCGGTGAAATTGTTAAGAAAACCGATTATTCCATCGATACCTCGGCAACATGTATAGCACGCGCGACGCAATTCTTTTCCTACAATCTTAATTAAGGGGACTGCTAGGAAGAATAGCGGCCCTTGGGATGGGTTCAGAATGGGGCAAGACGACCTCTGGAGGGCCGTGCGCACCCTTATAGCAGGCGCGACGTATCACTATGGGACGCGCGACGGTCGAAAAGCGAACTCCGGAGGGCGCTTTTCACCATCGTCAGAGGCGCGACGCACGGTTATAGTACGCGCGACGCACGATTATAGTACGCGCGACGCACGGCAAATTAATTAAAAGGTGTTGCACGCGGCCGGAGTTGTGGGCGCCCCACTAACCGGCAACTCGGAGGTGGGCAACCCCCAAGATTAATGTTTGCAGAAGCCGCGAGCGAGGGGTGGAGGCGCAGCGAGGTCGAGGACGTGGGGAAGGCCGTGCGGAGGGCGAGGACAAAAGGGCGGCTGTGTTCGTGGGGGGGCTCCGCAGGAGCCCCCTCACGATCCCCGCCCTTTTGTCCCGCCCGGAGCCGGCCTTCACCACGTTCTCGGGCGAGCGCGCCTCCAGCCCGAAGCTCGCAAACCCACAACGGAGTTGCTTACAAAAGGAATTGTCTGCAAAAAGGGCTTAGAAAGCAAAAAGTGTGGTGCCCACAACTCCCTTTGCTGACAACACCTTTTGTGGGCAACTCCGTTGTGGGTTTGCGAGCTTCGGGCTGGAGGCGCGCTCGCCCGAGAACGTGGTGAAGGCCGGCTCCGGGCGGGACAAAAGGGCGGGGATCGTGAGGGGGCTCCTGCGGAGCCCCCCCACGAACACAGCCGCCCTTTTGTCCTCGCCCTCCGCACGGCCTTCCCCACGTCCTCGACCTCGCGGCGCCTCCACCCCTCGCTCGCGGCTTCTGCAAAAATTAATCTTGGGGGTTGCCCACCTCCGAGTTGCCGGTTCGTGGGGTGCCCACAACTCCGGCCGCGTGCAACACCTTTCAATTAATTTGCCGTGCGTCGCGCGTACTATAATCGTGCGTCGCGCGTACTATAACCGTGCGTCGCGCGTACTATAACCGTGCGTCGCGCGTACTATAACCGTGCGTCGCGCGTACTATAACCGTGCGTCGCGCCTCTGACGATGGTGAAAAGCGCCCTCCGGAGTTCGCTTTTCGACCGTCGCGCGTCCCATAGTGATACGTCGCGCCTGCTATAAGGGTGCGCACGGCCCTCCAGAGGTCGTCTTGCCCCATTCTGAACCCATCCCAAGGGCCGCTATTCTTCCTAGCAGTCCCCTTAATTAAGATTGTAGGAAAAGAATTGCGTCGCGCGTGCTATACATGTTGCCGAGGTATCGATGGAATAATCGGTTTCCTTAACAATTTCACCGCCACCATTATTGAGCGCGCGACGTAAAACCATTATTGTATGCGCGACGTAAAACCACTATTAAACGCGCGACGTAATGCAAGTGATGCCAACTGAAATCAGGGATTTTGGGAAACACGTCGCGCGTACTATAACATTACCAAATTATCTAATATCATCCCCCTTTTAACAAAAAAATTTTAAAAAGTTCTTATAACCTCGTCGTCCGAGTCCATTTCGTTATTAATTTTAGTAAAGAAACCTCAAAATAAATTTTGAAAGTTAAGTAGGCGCTCTCTTTAACGCATTTTCGCATTTAAACGCGCGTTTGTCCCGTCAGCTGGCAGTGCCCTTAAGTGTGGTGTAAAAAGCAGCAAAATCACACTCAGGCAGCCTGAGTGTTGCCACGCCCCTTTCCCCTCAGTACGGTACACTTAAGTGCGTTTTGGTGGAGAACAGGCACAAGATCGATTTTCGCAAATGACCATCCCAAGGAGGACCATTCTGCGTCTTCACTGCGATTCCTTTAGTGCGTTTTCAAGGAGATTTCGCTCGTCAAAGGCAGTCCTGAACCTCCTTGGAGCCATTATGCTTTTTGTTTGTTTTTGTTTACAAAATCTAAAGAAACGATTTTGATTTTAATATTGTCTTATTGTCTGCACACCCTCATTGAATTGAAATGTCTGCGGAGGAGGCAAATACTTGTAAGACAGTGCATTTAAGTTAACGATCATAAACGTTGAACCAAAATTAATTTCAGCCCACGCAAGCAGTGGCAATGAGGAAGGGGCTAGCAGTTCCTCAACTGCTGAATCCTCCAAGACTAACAATTTGATGAGGATCCAGCAGAGGAAACAGCAGGTTTATAACTGGCCCAGGAACAAGAAAATTCTTAAGCTAGCAATTTATTCTCACTGTCAAGTACGGTTTATAAAAGAGAAAGTTAATTTATTTATTTACATTTTGTTGTATTTTGTATTAAAGGCTGATGATTGTAAATGCAATGGTTGGAAAACCCCTCAGCCAAAGTCACCGCAGAACAAAGACGAGTCTGTGCAGCAGCTGGCTAACTTCCAAGATCCCTGCCGGCACTGCAAACACACACTGCGTACACACAAATATCACTGTTTACACATTAAATCTAAAAGTATTTTAATAGAGTTTCACGTGAAACACTTGGAGCCTCTAGGAGACAGTGTCCTTAACAGACTACTTGGAATGGTTGTTGATGTTGAAAATATCTTTATGAGCATGAACAAGGAACTTGATTCAGACACAAAAAGGGTCTACTTCTACCTGTTTAAAGTAAAATTTTTAAATAATCATCCAAAGCAAGGACATTTTTTACCTTTTTAAATTTAGCTGTTGAGGAAAAACATTTTAACGAACCAAAAGCCAATCATAGAAGGACCATTGGGTCAACCACCTTTTGAAAAACCAAGCATGGCTAGAGGGGTGACAAATTTTGTGCTGTACAAATTCGGGAATCTTCCAGCAAACGTACGATTTTAAAACATTGTTTGTGATTCTAAAATTATTATATTGAATATACAGGAGTGGCAAACTAATTACGACTTGGCCAAAATGTTCTTGCATTGTCTCAACCACTGGAACTTTGAGAGCCCGACCTCCCATCTGAGTAACCTTAATTGTGATGAGCTTTCCACTTACAAAATCAATTACACAAGGTATATTTTCAAAACATAAATAAACAAATAACATGAATAAATAAAACATAAACTAACCTAACAAATTTGTGTGCATTGTTAAGGTGGTTAGTGTTCTGCCATGTGCCAGCCTTTTGTGATTCGCTCCCTCATTATGAGACGACAGAGGTGTTTGGAAGAACATTTTTGAAGGCTGTTTTCCAGACAGTTTGCAGACAACTCATGGAAAAGTGCAACAATGAGAGGGACAGAATGCCACCTGATAAGAGAGTCCTTGTTCTTACTCATTTCCCTAGGTTAACCTCCAAATTGTTGTTTTATTCTCAATTGAAATTTTTTTGCTTGGAACTCAGATTCTTGGCAATGCTTGAGGAGGAAATCAACAACACTGCTTCTCCGATTTGGGACGCAGAGTACAAACCAGTCGCTCCTCTTTATTTGGCAGCTCAGGTTGACAATGCCGAAAAAGGTATGCTTAGTTTGCAAATTTAAATGTCGTAACTAAAAATTTCAAAAAAAGTTGCTGCCACTAAGTCTGAAGAGTTTGAAAAACTCAATCCCACTGCCAAGTCTGGCTTTACAACCATCACAATCAACTCTGGCACAGGACGACGGAGGATTTCAGAGAGGTGACTCTAAGTTTGATCCCACAATTGAACTTATAACCTACTTTTGAACATGCCTTAGCTCTGAGCAGATTGATGCAAAGAAGAAGAAAATAGCAGACGTGCCTGAAAAAATAGTCACTGAAGTTCTCGCCACGATCAACAATCCTGTGTCAACAGGTGCCGAGGTAGCAAATAGCTCGCAATGGAAATGGCTTTTTACAAAAATCAATTTGCAGGCCGTGTTTCCTGAAAACGCACCAAGGGATGAAGCAGCCAAATTGGAGGAGCAGAAAGGTGTCATTTCATTTGTTGTGGTGGGAAATTCAATCACCAGACCTGTCAGCAAGCAAACAATCACCTGGCTGATTGGCTTGCAAAATGTATTTTCCCACCAGCTGCCTAGAATGCCCAAAGAGTACATCTCCAGATTAGTTTTTGATCCGTGAGTATTTTTTAAGGTTTAAATATAATAAATCAATAAATATTTATTACGTAGGAAACACAAAACGTTGGCTCTCCTGAAGGATGGTAGAGCCATTGGAGGTATTTGCTTCAGGATGTTTGTCACCCAGGGCTTTACTGAGATCGTCTTCTGTGCTGTCACATCAAACGAACAAGTGAAAGGCTATGGCACACACTTGATGAACCACCTGAAGGACTACCACATTAGACTCAACGTTTTGCACTTCTTAACGTTTGCTGATGAGTTTGCCATTGGTATTGCAATGAAAAATCAAATTTGACTTGATTCTTAATTTCTTCTTTGTCTAGGCTACTTCAAAAAGCAAGGGTTCAGCAAAGAGATTAAAATGCCTAAGGCACAGTACAATGGCTTCATCAAGGACTATGAAGGTGCCACCTTGATGCACTGCCACCTAAATCCCAGGATTGTTTACACAGAGTTTACCTCAGTCATTAGGAAACAGAAAGAAGTTAATAAACCAAAATCACTTTAGTACAAGCTGCTAATCTTTTCGAATTCAGATTCTGAAGAAACTGGTCGAGCAGAGGCAAGCAGAGTTTCAAAAGGTGATGCCTGGGCTGAACTGCTTCAAGGATGGAGTTCATTCGATTCCCATTGAAAGCATTCCTGGAATCCAAGCAACGGGCTGTTTGCCGTCTCTGAAAAATAAAATCAAGGCTCAGGCTGACAACATTGATCCAGAAGTTTTGGTCATCCAGCTTCGCACCATTTTGGGCCAGGTTGACGCTACAAATATTTGATGATTTTATACTTAAACATTGCATTACAGTTAAAGACGCATCATGCAGCTTGGCCATTCTTGAAGCCTGTTGATATTAATGACGTGCCAGACTACTATGATCACATTAAGTACCCAATGGGTAAGACTTAATTAAATATTTTCAATGGATATTCTTAAATGATTTACATTTAAACAGATCTCAAGACAATTGAAAACCGACTGAAGACATCATACTATGTGAACAAGAGGCTTTTCATTGCGGACATGAATAGAATCTTCACTAATTGTCGGCTCTACAACAGTCCTGAAACTGAATATTTCAAGTGTGCTAATTTGCTTGAGAAATTCTTCCAATCTAGAATGCGTGAGGTTGGATTGATGGAGAAGTAATGACTCTGTGTGCATTGTGAATTTAGTTAATTTTTATAATCATTTTGTTTTATTTTTTATCTCTATAATGCTTCAACTCTTCATGTGTAAACAAACCCTATTTGTGTATAAAGCAGTTTTGCAGTTTTGTTATTCATCATTAATTTATATTTTTGATTACTTCAAGCTTGATAATTATTAATTATTCCTTGATGGACGTTTATTTTTAAGCCAGTATGTGGGAGTATTTATCGGCAATGAATAATAATGAAATCATTATTGATGTGAATCTTAAAGTGGATAATTAATTTATAACGCAGTACCAGAAGTCTATGCAGTTATGCACCCAGTTTTATGTTCAATCAATACACCTCTCTTAAAAACATGTGTTGTTGGCGCACTTATTTGAATCTATAAAAACTTACGCGATTGGTCAATTCTCGTAATCGCGCATCCCATTGGTCGTTGCAACGTCTGGTGGTAGGTCTGTTTTACATTCGTCAGACAGCTGGAGCTCGTGACCCAAACTCGTGATTTATATCCATCAACCCTGCTAATCTTTTCCATTTTCAAAACTGCGAACCCAGCGATTCATTTTTTCGAACATTTAACTTTTAATTTACCAGTCTTGTCTGTCCACATCTATCAAAAATGTCGAGAGTAATGAAGAAAAAGGTCAGTAAAATGTCAATGACACTGCAGTTGTTTACTGCGGTGTTCTCTGCCTTTTATGTACGAAGATATTTTTTATCGTGTCCATGCTTTGCAGGTTTTGTTGATGGGCAAAAGTGGATCCGGAAAAACCAGTATGAGATCCATCATCTTTGCCAACTACATTGCTCGAGACACGCGTAGACTTGGGGCCACAAGTGCGTAAATACATAATGCTCAAAACTTAGATTTTACTTTGACAACTAATAATACTATTTATTTTGCAGTTGACGTCGAGCATTCGCATGTCAGATTTCTTGGAAACCTCGTGTTAAACCTCTGGGATTGCGGAGGGTAAATATTTGGGTAGTTCTAAAGTAATTAATTTAATCGATTTAATCAGTCAAGAGGCATTCATGGAAAATTACTTTGCGAGTCAGCGAGACAATATTTTTCGCAACGTCGAGGTTCTGATCTACGTTTTTGACGTTGAGAGTAGAGAGCTGGACAAGGACATGCATTACTACCAAAGTTGCCTGGAGGCAATTCTGCAGAATTCTCCAGAGGCTAAAGTTTTCTGTCTGGTGCACAAAATGGACTTGGTCCAAGAAGATCAGCGAGACATGGTCAGAACATACCATTTTACATTTTAATCATATAATTATTCAAGTTTAAAATTTTAGATTTTCCAAGAAAGAGAGGATGACTTGAAGCGCCTGTCAAAACCACTGAACTGCACCTGCTTCCGCACATCCATCTGGGACGAGACCCTTTACAGGGTAAAAAATCTCTTAAAAATCATTTGAGCTTTTGAATGAAAATTTTATGGCAGGCGTGGTCAAGCATTGTCTATATGCTCATTCCAAATGTGAAGGAGCTGGAGCACAGTCTGCAAGAATTTGCCAATATAATCGACGCAGACGAGGTGCTCCTTTTTGAAAGGGCCACCTTCCTTGTCATTTCCCATTCAGAGCGCCGAAGTCATAAGGACATACACAGATTTGAGAAAGTCAGCAACATTATTAAGCAGTTCAAACTTAGCTGCAGGTTTATAAGACAATTAAAGTAAATGTTTTCCATTGTACTAAATTTTTGATATGTTTTTAGCAAACTGGCTGCTCAGTTCCAAAGCATGGAGGTTGTCAACTCGAGTTTTGCTGCTTACATAGACATGTTCACCCCTAACACATACGTAATGGTCATCCTGTCTGATCCAACTATTCGTAAGTATTGGATTAAATATGATTTGAACCTGGTTATAAAGTAAATTTTGACAGCATCTGCTGCCACTTTGATTAACATTCGGAACGCGAGAAAGCACTTTGAGAAACTGGAAAACCAAAGCCAGCAGGGTCAACTTTTGCCTGCTCGTCCAAACTAGTGTGGTCTGTGAAAAGAATGACATATTTTTATAATGGTGACGTGAAGCAGTGGTGATATGTGACAGACTGCACTCTGCCTAGTTTTAATGAGTGAAGCTGGTTGCCCCGGCGACCATTCTCTAATTGATTGCTCTCATTTTTTTATTCACACAAATTATTTTAGATTGCCCTGCGGACTAGTTTTCCACATTACTTCCACTTCAACTGATTTTGTTTACAACATTTTAATAATTAATAGGCAAAAAATTCACTTTTAGGAGCTATTAGCTTGGAAAATTATGACTGAAAAAAAATAATTAAATGTGAAAACTCTTATGTACATAATGCTGTTGATATTTTTTTAGATGAACAAAGCGCTTTTCCAAGGTTGTCATAACAATAAAATGCTCTCATTTTTGCGCGGCGCGAATTTAATTACGCTCTCGCTGAAAGTGGCGTGCGAATGAAATTTTGTAATTTATGGTGACGCCCTGAAAAGTAGCGGAGTGCTTGATTGCATTGCCCGATAGATTAAAATGCTGTCAAACGCAGCCCGCGGTAACACATCATGAAGAGACAGATCAATAATTTCAACACAGTGAGTCTGTGCAAAAACTATCAAATATAATGCTATATAGAACGGACGCGATCCAAGCGGAAAGACGACGGCGGCGCGGTGAGCGTGTGCATGTCTGCAAAAAGATTACATTACCGACCGTTTGTGTACATAGTTTAAAAAATACATACATATTCTAATATTGAATCCGTCTTTTGTTTCAAATATGTCTCGCCACAATGTATACAAGCGCTGCATATTAAAATGGAAATTAGTCTGCGCGATATCCTTTGTAATCTCAACAAATCAAAATTAATCTGTATATCATGATTTCGATTGATTAAAGAACAAGTATATTTTATTTGCTGACAAGTATATGTTTAAAACCAACCTCGGTTGCCTATCGATTGGAAAGAACGCGAGCTCATCACTTTGATTGCTCGGTTGGCCTTACGGTGGTTGAAGGAATAATGAAATGAAAGTATATCTCAAAGGAATTGTTCTAGCAAGAGAGAACATGATTTTCCTTCCGACCCGTTGATCGAGTCCCGGCGGTGCCATCCCACTTTGGCGTCGCTAAAAAGCATTTATACTGAAATCACGGGGCCGGTGCGAGAGGGTGTCACATTTTTCCACCCCTTCCGCTTTATCGCCGCACATTCATTAAGCGTCGCGATGACAGCAGCCGACGGATGGAAGGCGTGGTTAATTTTGCCCAAAAGCCAGCCGGGCCTCGTTCTCCATGCGCCCTGGCGGCCGCTAATTTATGCACCACTGGCCAGAGAGAGCGCGCGCCACCACTCCCTCTCGTTAAATTCGTCCCTAAAGTGCGCCGCCGAGAGATCAAACGTACAGAGAGAGCAAGTAAGTACCCGCCGAGCTTTTCCGGCGGCGCGACTGCCGAAAAGGAGGAAAAGCAAAGTCCTTTGGCAGGTCGCTAGCGCCGCACGATTTTCGCGGAGAGCATCTGCCCCGTCGACGGCGGGTTGAAATTATCCGCACTTGCGCATCGGATTGCTGGCTGCCTATCCATGCAGGAGCGGGCGGGCTAGCGAACGAGCGAGCAGGAGTATGTAATCTTTGGCTGCAGCGCTTGCCCACACGCGCCGTGCTCCGTGCGAGCGAGTTCTCCTTTCCAGCGCAGCAGTCAGTAGCAAGAAGAGATTTTGCAGAGCTCGCAGGGATGCGCCTCACCTCGTTCCAACCGTAGTCCGCCGCAGGAAGGAAGAGCAGGCAACCCCCGCGAAATAAGGGAAAAGGGCGCGCCTGCCTGCCCGCTGTGTGTGTTATCGGCTGCGCTGAGAAGGGTGAGTTGTGATATAAATACACACGTATTCTTCCGCCATCGCCACCAGCCCGGCGGCGGCTTGATTTCTGCCAATGATGCGCGCACCAACCCCCCGCTTTTTATCCACTCTCGGTTGATGGGCACATTTTTGCACGCCAAGAATTTATGCTGGTAATATACACTCGAAGAGGGCTCGTTAGCACAAATTTATATTCGCTCGTCATCAGCGATTTGTTATATTCCTCGTTATCAGTCCCGAGGACGGTGCTGACGGCGCGGAAAATCGGGTGTTGCTCCGGGGGTGTTAACAATTATTTATTATTTGCATGTTGCTCTCGCGCTCGTCGGTTGGTCGGCTGCTGCCGCTGCATAGTATTATTACGATTATATAGGTCGGTTATTAAACGCCATGATAAGCGCCGGAGAGAGCAGGATACTCACTTGCTCTCGGCGGGTGATGCTACGGCTGCTGCTTTATAGCCTTCGTCGTGTGTAACAACCTGTTTTAAACTTTAATTTCCTCAGCCACTCCGCCGGCTCTCTCTGAAATTTCATGCCCTCCCTCGCTCTCTCGCACCGAGTGCGTGAAAAAGTGAGCCGAAATGTAAAAAAGCCAAAAAAGGCTCAGCGCTTTTGATTGTTTTAAATTGTTAATGTGTCGCACGGCGGAGTGAATATATTTTTCCCTCTCATTTTTTATCGCAAAAGCATGCGCCGCTCTTATTTAATTAAAAGCGTTCTGCTCAGCAGCTTTTCATGCACCGCTGTTTGTAGCCGGAGCGCGTGTGACACCAACTTCTGCTTTTTTATTAATCTCTGCTCTCGTTCTCCCTTTGATTGCCGTCGTTTTCAATGCACGAACGTGTATGTTTTAAACACCCTTCCGTTCTTGTCAAGTCCGCACGTTTTCCTATCGATTTTGAATTTGTTTTGACAGCATTGATTTTTTTCTCTCATTCCGCGGCGGGCGCGCGGGCGGCGCGTCGGAACAAAACCAACCACACCACGTCGACTTGGCTCTCTTTTTCATCTTCAGAGAGCAAGAGACGAGGAAGTACATAAAACCTGCATTTCCTCTCGATGTGTGCGAGTGTGATGGAACGTGCGCACGGTGGTTTAATATTCACGACGGGCGCTGCTGCTCCGTGCCTGTAATGACGGAATAATAAAAGAAGCGCGATGGAATTCGTATATAGTATTTTCGGCAGCAATTTGTCTGCTTCAAGTCCGCGTCCGACACAATAATGATTTCGTGCGTCGAACATCATGCAATCCGCCGCCTCGTGGTGGAAAAAAAAGAGAAGAAAAGTACGTGCAGGTACAAAGCCGCAGAGCGGCAGAAGACGTCAATTACGGCGTGATCCGCCGGCTCGCAAGAGCAATATTCCGTCCACGCTTACTTGGCCCGACGTGTCGATTATTGACACTTTTCGGGCTGACACTTTTTTAATGTAGTTTGTGCAGAGCATCGGTCGAAAGCTCGATCCCATTTTTAGCGTCGCTCAACCGCCCAACGGTGAGCGCACAACTTTTGTTCCTCTCCATTTTTCAAAGTCATATTGTTTCGGCGAGAAGAATTTTTTCCGCGCCGATTTTGGGCAGCGGCCGAGGCGCGCAGGGAGGGCGCCGAGCGAGAGAGGGTTGAACGAGAGAGAGAGAGAGAGAGCCTCACAAACACACAGCAGATGAGAGAGAGAGAGAGCCAGTCTGGTAGCGTGGAGCCAGAAATCGATTCAGCTCCTTGCTAACCTCTTCTCTGAACAGAGTTGCGCCACCCACATGGTGACGTCACGGGTTCGCCCCGAAAACAAAAATCCGGCCAGCCAGAAAAGAGCGGCGAAAGAGCGACGGCCGGAACGGACCTTTCGGAGGCCGCTTGTTGTGTTTCTGTCGCGGCCAATTAGCCGATTATGGGCCCCCTGACGCCCCCTCGACGACAACTAACTCGCTCGGCAAATTGGCCGGCGTCGAGAGTGTGATTGATTGAGAGTCGGCACCGTTCTCTCTCACTCTCTCCCGCAATTTGGCCCGAGTTGATTTTGGCAAGGCGAGGAGGCGGCGGCGGCTGATTCAATTAAACCGCCGCCATGACTTAATTTTTCATTATCCGGCCAAATTTGGGCGCTCTCCCTCCAATGAAGCCGTCGCGCTTTGGAGAGAACTTTTTTCACCCCGGCCTGCTTTTTGTCTCCGCGCTTAATAATGAGAGAGCACGCATATAAAAGATAATTTACTCCCTGATGTCGAGAATATGCCTTTGTTGTGTGCGCGGATTTTGAATACACTCACATGGATGAAGGGTATTACGGAATTTTTGTGTGTCTCTCTCTCGCGGGCGCACACAGCGTAATTCGCATTGTTGCCGTGGCTCACATCGGAACACACGTCCCGCGAACTCTCACTCGCTCTCTCTACTTTTTATTCTACAATTTTACTGCAAAGTTTTTCGGGGCGCTTCTCCCACTCTAAACCAGCACAAAAGCCTTTCTTCCTTTCTTTCTCTCTTTTTCGCAATTTATTAATAAAAACGTTGAACACACATAAAAAAGAGCGCGGATGACAAAGGGTTATAAAAATGTCAGCACGCAGAAGATTCGCTTTTCGAGTTTCTGTGTTGCTGTTCCTCTGTTATTATTATTGCTGCTGCTGCTTTTTGTAATTATTCGCCTGTGTAGTTTTTCGTGCCGCCCTTCAAAGAACATTATTATTATTTGAAAAAAAGCATAGGGTACACGTTGGCCGCCGTGGCTGCTGTTGAATAAATAATATTCGCCTCTCCGAAGAAAATAAACAGCTGATATGTATTTTGTTGAAAATCATGCATGCACGAGCTCCCGTGCTCTCACTCTAGTTTTTTTCCCTATCATCAGCACGTATACACTCAAGAGCGCAATACCGAGAAAAATCAAATTTACTTTGTTTGCCTAGTTCTCACGCGAAGATGAGCGTGGCAATTCCGTGCGATATTGTAAATCCCCTAGCATGTGCATTTTGTTTACTCATGCAAGGCAAATTACGGACAAGCTTATCAGCTCTTTTTATTTAAACGAGATGCAGCAAATGGAACTTCTCCTACCAATCTACGCAAAGTTGTTTGCTAGTTAATTGCTTTTCCAAGATACACACACACAATTTTTTTTGTCATAAGGATTTGCTGGGAACATGAAATCGATACAACAACTCGTCGTTTACAAAAACATTAGAAGTATTAGATCCTATTTTAAAATATCATTTGGTTTCTATTTTAGAAACAAAATTTTCTTTGCTTGGTGGTAGTTTTTAATACATTCTGGGAGCTATCCGTGTGGTTTCTTTTATTTGCCTTAGAAAAAATGATGAAGAGAAAAATAGATTCATCTTTATTAATGTGACTCTCAAAACATTAATACAAATAAACCTGTCAGCACTCGGCGTTTATTTTTATAAAAATGAATGAATCCATTTTTCTCTGCATCATCCTTTTTAAAAGGCAATTAATAATCTGCGTTGATCACTCACAGAGGGTTTAAAAAATATCATTTGTTTCTTTCTAAAAACGATTAACTCTCATAAAACTGATTGTTATTATAATTTCACACTTTTTTAACATTGGATCGAAGCAGGCAAAAATCAGCTTACAATTAGTGCAAAATCAAATCTACTGATTATCTTTCATTAACTAATTAAAAACAAGCTCAGAAAAATTCAAATTTGTTGAAATTTGACTTTCATCATTTTGCAAAGCATTATTATCGATTATTATCCATTCGTAAATTCTCATCAAAACAACATTCCTCTCCTTTAACCAACCACAAAAAAGCTCTAACACAAACACGTCAAACACGGTATTTCATGTAGACATGAAAAACTCAAAAATATCCATTCATAAAAGGAGCTCCGCAGATGGAAGATTCAGAACTTTTATCCGCACCTTTGTGTTCCAATTTCTGTTTAATCTACTTTGCTGCCTGCGGAATCACATCCAGCAAAAAGTTTAAACGACCTGCAGCTGTTTTGAGTATCTCTTGCAGTGCTTGCTGCTATTTATTCAACCAAGCAGATATAAATTTCAATGTCCGCCCAGTTAAAATGAAATTAATTAAAAAGTTTCCCAGCGAAAGTTTTCCTTTTTCTCCCCCGAGAGAGAGGCAAGCATCATATTTTTAACGAAATCATTTTCGCTTGGCCTATTCAGACTCGCACACACACACACTTTGGGCGTAAGAAGCAGCAGAGCAAGAGAGGAACTCGGTGGGCCAAATTTTGCAAAAAGCAGCAGCGACGGCAGAAAAAGGGTTGGTTGGGAGCGGTGACAATTTTGCTCTCACGTCGTCATTTCGACCAAAGGGCGTGCTCTCTGGCGCACTCTCTCGATTCACAAAAAGCGGTGGCCTCTCTATTCTCCGCTCTCTTTCGCTCTCGGCCATCTCGAAATGATTTGCTTAAAAGTTTTCCTACCATTCTTCAGTTGGCACCGTCCGGGACTTTTCTAACGATCCGTTTCTTAGCCGCCTCTGTTTGCGTTGTCTCTGTCGATAACCTAATACCTCTGAAGATTTGACTGTATCGTTTTAACTTTCGGCTAAACGATTTTCCGGATGGTGCGCGTGTTTGCCAATTATCCTTACATGGTGCAAGAAGTGGAAGTGTACAGTTTCAAGAAGAAGTCCAATATTTGTTTTGTTCTTTATATTACATTTCCTTCTTTTCCTCCCGCGTCTCTCCTCGAGCACTCTGCTTATTTTTCTTTCTTTTCTTTTTTTCCTCCTCTCGCTTGGCGTTATTTGTCGGGGCTTTTCTAAATTAAAGCAAAAATAGAACAGCCAGCAGTTAGTTTATTTTCCCTGAGGAGTCTTTGTCGCACCAACGGATAAAGAAGTTCTTTTAATTTTTCGCTCCGCAGAAGCTGCTGCCGCTGAAAATCCGATATTAATTTCTCATTTCATCTTACGGCAAAAGTCTGTCTTCTTGTGATTTGTCGAGAGAGGAAGAACGACGACGCCGTGCAGCGTTTCTTCTCTTCTGCAGCACATCGAGCAGCGAGCCAGAAAAAAGCAACTTATTGCATCTGTAGATACGAACGGGTCGAGGCAAAAAACTCGCAGGGAAAAAAGAAGCGCACAAGTTGTTGCCCGATACTTTTCTCCTCCGCTCTCGGGAGCAAAAAATAAAATAAATTTCCAGCAGCTATGATCACTGCAGTGAGCCGAGAGCTCTTAAATCCAGATAAGAGCGGCTGATATTTTACTTTTATGATTGTCAGCAAAGTATCTCTTCCTCTTGTGCTCGCAGCAATATCAGCACTCACTATTTTTGCACTCCAAGTGCTCGCTCCTCTCTTCGATGATGGGTCTCTCTGCCTTTTCTGGACAATTTTTCCATTCGATTTGCGAAATTACATGAAATTTTCCTCGCTCCAATAGTCCGAGGCAGCCGATTGAGAAATGAACTGGGAGCTGAAAAATCATTAGCGTGTGCACGTCAGCCTGCAGCAAAGCAAGTTAGGCAACATTTCGACACGGACGATGCGCGGGTTGCATAACCACTGTTCCGACCGAGCGGAATGGAATTCTCGTGGCTGTCTGTTTTAATATAGAACCTCGTCATACCGAAACGAGGCAAAAGTTTTAATTGATTTGTTTCTAGTTGAGTCGAGCTGCAAAATCACAAATCACCCTCTGCACGTGATTCAATGGTGCGATCTCGATTAATATTTCAACTGACGAGCTCCAAAATTTTATGCAATCGTCATCCGTCCTTGGCGCCTCTGGCGCAGTTAAATTTTAATTATCAGGAGTGAAATGCGCAGAGGTGCTTTCCGAACGTGAATAATTGACCACTTCGCGCTCACAGAGAATTTCGCTCAAAGCCGGTTGAAGATTTTAATTTTGCTTCAAGAGGAGCCCTTCCAAGTCCAATTAAGAAGCATTACGATCCAAATCCCTCTTGGAAAAATTATTTTCAATTCTTCAGCCCTCGAGTGAAGAAGTTTGCTCATTACATAGAAAACGAGTTGTATCAGTTTCGCCTTGCAAGGAAAAGAAATAAAACACTTTTCCCAATTTGTTGAATTTCTTTTCCTTAAATTATTTTTAATTGGCAAAAAAATCCATGTTGAGTGGAAGCTCCTTTGACGAGATCTTGTTTCAGACCCGGATGGTATAAAATCATGTACGCAAATAAATTTCGCGCAAGAACAAGCAGAAAGTAGGCAATTTCCAAAAGCCCCGCAGCCTGTTATCTCGAGAAAAAAGCTTTCGTCGTCAAATTCTTGGGCTGGTGGCGCGCGGGTAGGAGGGCGAGCGAGTTTGGCGAACAAACTAAGTTTGTCGGCAGCACCCGGAGCGAACTTGGAGGAAGCCAATCGCGTCTCATGCGTGTATGCTTCGGTGTTGCAGGTGGCGTCGAGAGGCGCGATGTGTGCCCCCTGCCCCTTGCGTCCCGACCCTCGGCCCTGAACAGAGAGCGATGAGCTGCCCGCTGGTGCTGCTGGTGGCGGCCGCCCTCGCCGTCGCCCTCGCTCACGGGGTGCCTCTCACCACCACCAGGGTGGTGCACACCCGCTACGGAAAGCTGCAGGGCTTCGTCCAGAAGGTCTCCACAGGGTCCTTTGCCTCACAGTCGCTCAAGCCCGTTGAGGTAAGTTTCAAATTTTTCTCTTCAAATTTTCTACTTTTTTATTTCTAGAAGAAGAAGAAACGGATTAATATTATAAAAAATAACTAGCAATTTAAGAATATATTTTTTTTATCAAATACTCACTTGTTCTCCATTTTGATTATCATTTCTATAAAGCCTAGCAAAGGATGAAATTTATAATTATCAATTGAAGTTAAATGTTCTTTAAGTTAAGATTGAGTTAAAAATAACTTTAAAATTTCAATGCCTTGAAACCTTAATTATTTGTTTTCTTAATAAATAATATTAACCACTTTGCGCCGAAAATTACCCATTATTTAAAAAAAAAAATACCTATTTTCCCTAACGTAACGCAGACTCCTTAAATAATGTAATAATTGATTCATTTCATTGAAGAAAATGTTGCATGTGTAGAAAATATTCTTTCCCCTTGAAAGTGTTTAAAGCAGAAGCTAACTTTTCAAAAGAACAGAGTTTTGAAGAAAAATCCTCTTTGAAGTTCGTTAAAGTGAAAAATGGTTGAAAACAAAACGCTTTCAACGCTTTCAAGTATTTATTTTTGGAGGCGCGCCGTAATTGAGAGCTAAAATGGATTAAACGCGCATTTCTAACCGCCAAAAGGGACAACTTGATGAATTTGTTGCCCCATTATCCTACGGGGAGAGTAGCGAGAATCGGAATACCCGTGGGCGTAACACGAAACATCCGACCAAGGAAGGAATTTCTCATTCTCGAGTGGCTATCAAGTTGCGCGGCATGCGGAGAATGCTCTTTCGCTCCAACAATCCGTGATTGCACGCCTCCTGCCAAATTGGCCGACAGTAAAATTCGATTGTTCGTCAGAATATGACGTTGAGGTTTTATCGCAAAACGCGAGAGAGGAATTTCGAGGTGGAAGTATAATTCCTGTCAGCGTTATATTTTGTACATCTCCTCTTGTTTTCAGCGCAAAAATGATGGCGCGCGATTTGTTTGCTTGGAGTTTACGCGACATGAATTTTTATTTTACTTTGCTGTATACATTTGTCGCATCCAATGCGCGGTCCGGGGGTGAAAAATGTAAAAAGCTGTGTACAGGACAGTACAAGAGCGACGACCATTATATATTTTTCAGAGCCAGAAAAGTTTCGGCCGTTTTCGCATCAGAAAAGTTGCTGTTTGCAATCGTGTGCCGCTTTCGGTGCATTAATTCCGCAAAAGCGGCCGACACACGACACATTTGTTGGAAGTCCCTTTTTCGTGTAGCTCCACTTGTCAAGGAAAATATCATTCCGCGAATAAAAAGGCCGCTCCGTCTCTCTTTGAAGTGCGCCCGGTCGAGCAAAAAGTCAGCCTGGAACAAAACTGTCACGTGTCAACCTGAGGAAATAAATCCCCGGGCTACTGATGGATCATTGCGAGCGAACAGATCAAAAGTTGAACGCATTTTTGTTCCGTGTTGAAAAGCAGTCGACGTGTTCGAAATGTTTTCTAACGTGAACGTGCTCACCGGGCAGGGCAAATTTGATTACAGCTTTTCCAGATACAATCTCTCTCTCCACCCCGGAGCGAATTGAAACTCGCGCGTTATGGGTTGCTGGCTGAGCTTTTGTTTCGGTTCCCACGCACGGAACTCTTAGCAAATTGATTTTCTGCTTAATTTCTGAAGCAAGAGAGCGGTTCTGCCGGCGGTGGTATTAGTTAGGGCTCTTTCTCTCGTTCGTTATATTCGCCTTAATGACGTTTCGCCACGAGAGAAATCGCAGATCGAGCTCGTTTGAGGGCAAAAAGTTGATGAAAATCGAGGTCGACGGCGGCGTTATTTGCAATGTGATCGATTGCCCTGAGATAAATGAACGACTTACTCTCCCGCGGTGCAATCGACTAATCGTTCAATTTATTCCGCCCGAAACGACTTTTCATGAGCAAAAAACGGCACGAAATACTCCAATTTAACGCTTGTTGTTTTTCAAAAGATATTAATCGCTTATTTTCTTTAAAAATTAAACGCTCTCTCGATTTCGGTTTGAATTTTGCGGCATTGATCGACCGATTGATTTGCGGCAGCTGTCGGTTGGGAAAAACGCAAACAAAAACGTGGTATTAATATTAATGAGGCCGAAAATAAAAACCAACATAATCGGTATCATTTCAATGGTAGAACAGCGACAAGTCACGTCAAAAGCGCCCACAAACAGCCGCTTGCATGTTTAAAACGCCAATATACAGTTATCGCACGCGGCCATTATAACAAATCGAAACAAATTTGCATTCGTTTCAAACTAAAATGTTTTCACTTTAGGTGTTCCTTGGAATCCCTTACGCGACACCGCCCGTCCGGTCCAACAGATTCAGCCCCACGCGGACGCCTCTGCCCTGGGATGGCGTCAAGTTGGCGGACACGATGGCCCCGGCGTGTCCGCAACGTCTGCCAGACATCTCGAACGAAACGGCCAGTTTGGAGAAAATGCCTAAGGGTCGGCTCGAGTACCTCCGGAGGCTGCTCACATACCTTCAGAACCAAAGCGAAGACTGTCTCTACCTCAACGTCTACGCTCCAGCTCAGGGTGAGCACCATTTTTTTTTTTAATTTGATTTAATGATTTTTAATTGAAGCATTATTTGATAAGTTATTTTTTAGATAGTATAAAAATTATTAATTTAATCAAAATAATTTTTCAAAATTATTGAAAGATAATAAATGTAGAGCAAAATTAACCTCAAAATCAATTCACATTTTTAAAACACATTTTGTATTTTTATCACAGTTCTTACATGAAATAACTGGAAAATTAAATGAAAGGTCTTTTTATTAGAGTGGCCCTTGAAAAGCCCTTTTGAATAATCCATTATTTGTAATTTAAATTAACCTTACAAAAAGCAGCGATGTTTACGAATATTCCAAAGGGATTTCATAGTATCAAAAAATTCCATCTCTTTTTAGAAAAGGGAAAAATGTAAAATGGTGAAACACTTTCCGTCTGCCTCCCCTTTTGTTTCCTGTCTTTTTTTCTGCTCCACTGTGTGTTTGCTCGTGGTTACAAAATAAAACTACTTCTTATTTCCACCTCTGTTTAATGCACCGTCAAGTCACGCCTCGCGCGCGCTCTTGCCGAAAGGACCCCTGCGCAGCTTTGCATCATTTGGTTGCTGTGCTGTGTGTCGTAAGCTCTTGAGCAAATTTGCCGAGCAAATTATTTGCCCATCAAGGTGCGCCGACCGCTTTTTCGTGCCACCAAATGCGCAGACGGAGAGGGGCTGCATTTCTCCCGATTTTTTGCACCTAGATTTTCTTTTTTCGCCCCCCTTCGGCACTTTGGGGTGGCGCTGCTTTGAATATTCATGAGGGCGTGTTGTTAAAGAAGATGTCGGCGAGGCTGATGCATTTTTAAGTGGCGAGCGAGACACGGCGCCGGATGTGGCGTGCAAATTCTTATCTCATCATTTTTAAATTTCAGTGCCGTTTTCGGGCGAGATTTGCGTTTAAATTTTCACCACGAGAATCAACGGCAGCCGCGCGCTGCTTGTTTTGCTCTCTATTATTCATGTCCCGGCGGCACCTGCAGCTCTTTTTTTATTTCTCATTCTCGCGGTGCCGGTTTTCTTCATTGTTTCCCCCAGATCAATTGCATTTGAAAGTATAATTTTAAAATTTGGCGCGGTCAGCTTTAAGGGGTAAATTATTCATGCCCTCCAAAAATAATATTACTCAGTTGAGCAGCACCAGTCCCAACTGCATAAATATACCCACGTATTTTTAAACGCAAAATCTCGCGGAGGAATAACAAGAGGGGTTTTCGGAATTAATGCGGCCCCTTTTGCGTCAGGCCAACGGAACAGCCCAACTAATTCAATTAGTTTTAATGCGGATGCGAGGGAAATATAAACCAGCTTGTTTCGAGGGATCAAACACGCGGTTAAGTTAATGAGGATGACCCGGAAATTCATTATCACAATTAAAAGGAGCAGTTCTTTGCGTTCTTTGCAACTTTGCATTTGAATAATAAAGGAGGGTTTATAAAAACTCTTGAAATTTGAAGGGCTTTAAGGACTGGACAAACATGTAAGCTTAAAATAACACTTATAGTAAAGTCAATATTTATTTTGTCACCGTTAGTCAGTTTTTTTTAGAAATTTAATGTATTTCGAATTAGTTTTTTATTTTTGGAAATTAAATCTTCGTAATCTTAAACTTCATGTATTTGAATGGAGATAAAATTAAAAATGTTAGTAGATTTAAAATAAAATTAAGTTTTGGAAAAAAATCTGCCAACATTTAAGTAGACACCTAAAGATTTAAAACTCGTAAGGATCAGTAATTGCATAAAGAAATTTAATCTTTCATGTTTGATTTGAAATGTCTCATTGTAAGACCTGTACTTTTTATTGTACATTGAGGAGCTCGGATCATTGGAGCCACGGAATTGGCTTTTTAGTAAAAAATTTACATTGGCTCAATCGATTTTGGAGCGGCAATGCAATTCAAATTCCAGTCATGAATTAACTGTCTTTTATCCGAAAATTTATCGCTGGAAAACAAAGTAGGAGCCGCCGTCATAAACGAAAATCGATATACACAAATCAGTCGGGGATCTCTTTGTTGGTTCAGGCGAGATCTTCTCCGGGGATGAAAGAAAGAGGAAAAAGTTTCGTCAGCGGCGACAACAAAGCCTTTCTTTCGACACGATTGACAATGTACTAAAGTCCGCCCCCCTGCGAAGAAAAAGCGTGTCACCGAGATTTTTATTTGCCTTCGCAAATCACTGCCATCTCCTCCAAATCCATTTTCAATCCCAGAGTTTTTCCAGTCAACTTGACTCACTCGATCGAGCTCTGGAAGTTATCCCCCGGGACCGCCGAGTTTTTGCCCGAAGCTCTTGACGTGTTTGCTATTTTGCAGCCGTCGGCCCCCCAGAGATGATGGAGCGCTACCCGGTGATGGTCTACATCCACGGCGAGTCCTTCGAGTGGAACTCGGGCAACCCGTACGACGGCTCGGTGCTTGCCAGCTACACGGACGTCGTCGTGGTCACCCTCAATTATAGACTCGGCGTGCTGGGTAAGTCGCAAAAACCTTTTTGTTGGCTCTGGCCACCGGATTGCTTTAGAGATTGCGATCAGGGCCATGCATGAGCTGCATTTTGGCGGCGGACAGCAAGTCATAAATTTTACAAAACTTTAAATTATACTAATGTAGATATTTTTAGTAATATTTTTATGAAATATAAACTGTTTAAATTTTTACATTATGTTAAATATAATTATTTATTTACGTTAAATTCATTGAATTTTACTATAATGAATCAAAACTTAACTTCCCATTAGAACTATAAAAAATTCAAATCTTTTTCATGACTGAGTATGAACCTCCAATTTTACTAATAAGTAAGGATCTTTCCCATTGCTGATTAATTATATCTTCTTTTAGGCAAGCATTTCTTACAATTAGTTTATGATCTTCCTCATTGCCAATCATAATTTGTATTTCGAATTTTCAATAATTTCTATTTCATTCGAAAATATTTTTTTTTCTTCATATATTTATAAAATATAAAAGATTTGTGATATGTTAATTAAATTTAACCCTTTGATTTCAACGGTCAAAAGAGGAAGATAAAATTAGTGTTAATTCTTATATTTGCAAAGTCGATTTGCGACTTACCACACTTTTATTGAGTGTTAAACCCTTGGCTGGAAATGGCCCAAAACGCGCGTGAGATTTGCACTCTGCCCGCGCGCGTGCAAAGCGTCTAATTCAATGGCGGAGAAAATGGTCCGTCCAGCAGAGAAAAAGTGCATAAATTTGTCCGGCTTTTATCTGGGCAGCAAGGGGTTGGGAACGTGCGCACAGCACAAATCTGCCTGGCCCCGATGCATGATGGAGAGACGTGATCGATTGTTCGCAGGCTTCCTGAACGCCAACAGCGCGCCGCACGTGAAGGCCCGAGTGGCCAACTACGGCCTGATGGACCAGATAGCCGCGCTCCACTGGATCCAGCAAAATATTGCCCTCTTTGGCGGCGATCCAGGCAACGTGACCCTCTTCGGCCACGGCACCGGCGCCGCCTGCATAAATTTCCTCATGATCTCGCCGACCGTGATGCCAGGCAAGTCCTTTTAATTTTCACCCGCTACCTTTTTTACCATCGGCCCGAGGCGCGTCTCTCTTTTGATCTCGCGCCTAATTGTCTCGAATAATTATAATATATATGAAAGGAGATCCTTTTTTCACGAGAGGGCCGAAAGACGCCCAGTCAGCATGCAACCAGAATGACCACTCTCGTTTTAATTAGTGTTTGTTATTGTTGCGGTTCTTGAGTCGAGAGTGGTGCTGCTTTTGATATGTATACACTCTGATCCGATTTAATCTCGAGCACGCCAACCCTTTTTTTCATTATGTACGCCTATTGACACTTTTTTATTGTTGGCCTGGGAGCGGAAAATAAAATTTTCAACCGCTGCTTTATCACCCAATTTGTCGAACGAGATTTTGGTTATTAAATTAAATGGCCTGTTTCTCCTTTTTTTTAAGGGGGCTTTTAATTTCACCCAACAGCTTTGGATTGTTTGGTCCTGGAACGTTGTGAATAGTAATAGAATTCAATGAATGGATTAATTAGCGTGGGCCGAAAGGGCTGGCGATTATGGAGCGCAACACAAACGCCAACATGCAAATTGGCAACATTTTCCGTTCGACCGAGCACGCGCGGCCATTCGTATTCCGCCAACCCGCCCTTTCCCTCCTGCCCGCCAGCCCGGCCGGCGTTTTATCTGTTTTGGAATAACGCAATTTCACGATGAAACATTATTATGACGTATCATGTCGAATTCTACATGCGAAGGTACACAGTCCCATCCGCGGCAGTCGTTCAACCGGCCGCAAAACACGGCGTGTGCGCGCGTTTAAAACGCCATAAAATATTTCTAATTCGCTGAACAAATACTTTGAAATGCTCGCTACCTGCATGCCCGCGAATACCAAACAATAATAAACGTCCGTGTTTGTGTGGTGTAAATTTGCAAAATTATTGCTACGGGACCTTTTTCGTTCCAAAGGAAATTCTTCCACGCGAATTAAAATGAATTTCAAAGTTTGAAATTCAAACTTGAATAATGTGGAAAAATGGAAGCTCTTTCTGTGTAGCCCCACGGTATTCATTTTAGTCAACACAATGAAATTTTGCATAAAAAGAGAAAGTCTGTTTGTTTGGCAACGAGAGCTTCCGGTATTTGCTTTTATAAGTTATTCAAACCGTGGTGGCATATCTGGTTCGTTATTTCAAAACGCTCCGCGCTGGTGCGTGTGCATGTGAGCTTTGATTCTAACCAAACCGTTTGTGACGGGCAGTGCTAATTTGTTTACACGAGTTTGAAATTTTCATGCTGTGGCAATTTTGCTGTAATTTCCAACTTTGCTCCACAAATTGTTACAAATCAAAGTGATTAAATGGTGACAATGAACATTAACGATTTTTCTCTAATGCAAATTAATTTAAAGTATTTTTAATTTTTTTTTTTATAAAACAATGAACGACTCAAGAACATATCGAGGTAAAGCCTTAGTCAACCAAGGCTCACTGCGGTAGATGAGGTCTTTTTGATCTCAGAAGTTTTAGAGGTGTTGCCGTTTTGTCCAACAATTCCTTTTTTAAATAAATTTTTTGCAACAACTGAATGTCAACAATGTATTGTAACAATGCGGACAAATAAACAACAATAATAACAATATTAAAGCCAAATTTGCACATGAAACATCTTTAAATTTCATGTTGGTTTAAACGTGCGAATTATGTATGAATTTTGTTTGGTGTTATTGTTTGATTTCAAATTTGAACTGTTTTGAATCAAAATTCAATTCAGCCGAAACCTTCCCCATCCCAGAATATCAAAATTGATTTAATCTGATGATTGATTTTCCAGGCCTATTCCACCGAGCAATCCTGCTGTCAGGGTCGGCCCTGAGCAGCTGGGCGTTGGTGGAGCAGCCATCAGTGTACGCTCAAAAACTGGCGCACCAACTGAACTGCTCGCTGCCGGAGGACTCGCGTCGCGACCACGAACGCATCGTCGACTGCCTGCGCGCGGCGCCGCTGGACGCACTGCTCAGGGCGGACCTGACGCCGCCCGCGTTCACCAGTGCCTTCGGTCCGTCCGTCGACGGCGTCGTCATCCGACCCGGCTACCGTCGCGAACTCATTGCCGGCCAGAAGAGACGCAGCTCGGGCGGCTCGTCGGCCTCCGCCTCTTCCTCCTCAGGTTTGCTAATGAGACCAATTAATAAAATTGCACAACTTTTTCAATTTGCCCCTGCTCTTATTAAAAAGAAGCGCGCAGAACTTTTCCAACTACCCGGATCGAATGAAAATCCGGCCGGGTTTTTCTCGCGAGTTAATTAAAACTCAAACTCGCAGGCCAATATGGCGTCAAAGATTAAAGACCTGTCAATTTTTTACGGTTCAATCCGAAAATTTTAGAGCATGAATTGCAAAAAATGGGAGTGAAAAATTCCCAACTGTGAAACACAATTAGCTTTAGTCGCTTTTACCGCCAATTCGCCAAAATTGGTTTTAACTCATGAAACAAAGGGGGAAGTTTAGTAAAGCTGGAGCTAAATTAAATTATTTATTCAAAAGGCGCGTTTTGCTACTGAGCAGCCCTTCAGTTTCTGTTCACATTATTTATTATGATTGTTCTAAATCTACTATCGTTTGTAAAATTCAGGAAATTCCTGCAAGATTATCGATTTTAGCTTCTGAAAGCATGCTCAAATTTAAGTTCATTCTGATTAGGCGATTAAAAAGGGTCTTAAAAAAGCCTCGTGGGGAACTTTTTCTTCTCTCGATCGAATACAAATCCGGGCGGGGTTTTCTTCCGAGCTAATTAAAACTCGCTTGCTTTCGCAGGCTAATGCGGCGTTAATTCCAAAAATTCAGCATGCGAAAGTTCTGAGTCTCCGGAGTCTCGCCTTGGGGAATTTTCGCTCTTTGCTGGAACACACGCCAGGTTTAGTGCTCGGCCAAAAAATATCCACTAGCGGAGAGTAGGTAGTTTAAACGGGGTGAGCGTTTGCCCTGCTTTTATGGGGCGATGCTTGGGTGCTTTCTTGTTATTGTACTCTCTTTCGCGCAGACAGCGCGCAACTTCTTCTTGAGCAGGCCCTGACATGTTTGTGGAACTTTTTGCACAGCATCTGTCCGCTGCTAAATTGAATAGTGGGCATCCGACTCCACTTTATTGCACGAATTGTGCGGAAGAGCCAGTTTACTTGCACTTGACACACACACGTCTTAACTATGGAGACCGGCAAAGTACATTAAGGAGGATTGATGTCTTTTAATTTGGGGGGAAATGGCGGGAAATGAACACGCAATTGTACAAAATTGCCGGAAGAAACTTTAAATTTTCGGAAGTTTTCTTGTTAGAATAATATTACCCCGGCTGAGTAATATTGAATTTTGATGGAGAATCATAAAAAATGACAGACACGATCTCATTTTTATAATCCAGTATTTTAGATTATTTTCTTTAAATTAAATATATTTATTTAAAAATCTTAATGCCATTATTTTTTTTGTATCTTAAAAAATTTGCTTTGCTTGCTTCATTTTGAAACTATATATTTTTATTGTATTTATAAGTAGTTCTGATCAATTTTAGTGTAGCTCATTTTATCGTTTATTTTGAACAAAATAATGAGCAAAACGTCAAGTTTTACATGGAGAGGCTCAACGAAAAATATTAATGCAGGGCCTTTAATGGAAAATGCTCCGCAAAATATCAACCAAAAAGTAGTAGAGTCTCTCTTGTACTTTACACTCACGTGCTATACTCTGGCCGTGCAATTTTGTAAAAGCCTTAATCTTGGTAAAACGCCACCGGCTGTGTTTTTACGGCACTAAAAATACCACATATTTTCTCGCAAGTATATACGTCTCGGTGTGTCTCACTAATATTGACGTTTTGTTGTGTTGCCGAGCAGGTGTGATGAGCGACTCGAGCACGTCGACGAGCGTGTCGAACCGCAACTACGACCTGCTCTTCGGAGTGGTCACCAGCGAGGCCCTCTTCCACTTTTCAGCGCGCGACGTGCAGGCCGGCTTCGAGGGCGAGCGGAGGGACAAGATTTTCCGGACCTACGTTCGCAACACCTACAAGTGAGTAAACTTTGCTTCGCCCACCACCATTGGCCGGCACGAGTAAGTCAATTATGAGTGTGCGCCAAACTTGAGCAAACTCGCTTTGCTCGGTGTGTATACTTGAAGTTGGATGGACTCGGAAGAATATCAGGGCGAATTTCGGTTCAAGACTTTCGCTCTCTTTCCCCTTTTATTTAATTACGGCCAAGTGAGAGACAAAAGCCTTCTTTGTGTCACAAAGTTGGGAATATTTCAATGGCTCGTTCACAGAAGTCGATTGTGCGAAAGTTGCTGCAACTCTCTCCCCTCTCCTAGAAGATCTGCAAAAACTTTTTCTCAAGCCCTCCTATTTTCTGTCAAGTTTTTTTCCCTCTCATTCGAAATTTCTTCACTAGAGCGACATGATTTGACTTTCAAAAAGCTCTTGACGAGTTATGCAACGCGCTCGACGCCTCTGCATACTTACTCTCAAGACGCATTTTCTCAAAGGCAACATTTTCAATTGCGAGAAACCGGGTCAACTTTGCCATAACTTTACATTTAAAATGACTACTGCAATGGAAATGAGATTATCCTCATCAAAGTTTTGAGAGCTTTAAAAATAGTAATTCTAGACATTTTTTTTTTAAATTTATTAGAAGTCTTTCCTCAAAATTTAGTTGTTTTATAGGTTGATTTATCCAATTTACACTTTTTTTTATCAGTCTTTAAATGGGTGTTGTACGTAAATCAGCAGTTTGGAGTAAAAACTACCAATATATAATCATGTTATTTTTGGCACCGCTATTTCAAAGCAGCCAAAGGATAATCATACAAAATTGAATGAGTACATGCCAGCAAGTTAGTTAGTTTAATGCGGTTTGATCAAAAAATAATCTGATTTCAATCTGTGTTGGTTTTTGCCTAAAATTTGTAAACAAAATCGCAATTTGCAGCTAATGAGTCAAATCAATGTAAATTTCCATTCATAAATATTCATTTTCTGAAAATTTAATTGAAGAGGAATTAAATTTTGAACAATCCGACTTCAATGTTGCCACGTCCTGTTTATTTATTCCTGTTTGAAGCCGCTTTTACTGAAATGGTATATTATGCTTTTTTTAATACTCGAACTATTTAGCCAAGAGTTGGTTAATTTTAATATTAGATTTTCTAGAATAAAATTACATATTTTGGGCTCATTACAAGCAAATGATTAGAATTTGAAATTTTATTTATGATTATTAAAATACTAAACTTTTAAGGCACCGTTATATTTTCAATTTGCAAAGTTAAGTGCACTCGTCATTGTCGTCCGGCGACAAATTCCGCGTTTAATCGGCAATAACCCGCGCTGAATAATCCCGGTCGTGTGTATTTTACGGCGCCACTAAAACAATCTCTCCCCGCCTAAAAGCAAAGCCGGCCGCTGTAAAAGAAAGCATCTCCGCCCAAACTAAAAGGAAAAGCACCATAAAGTGGGTGCGATGTGCGAACGCGCACAGATAAAAGTTAAGAGCGGCCGCCGAGACGACTCGTTAAATAAATATTTCAGCAGGACACACGTGACATTTGCTTTCTTTTCCCGCAGCTACCACCTGAACGAGATTTTCTTCACGGTGGTGAACGAATACACCGACTGGGAGCGGACGGTGCAGCACCCGATCAACACCCGCGACGCGACCATCGCGGCCCTCAGCGACGCGCAGTACGTCGCGCCCGTTGTGCACACCGGCGACCTGCTCTCGCGCGTCGGCTCCTCGCATAACAGCCCTAAGTGCTTCTTCTACGTCTTTGACTATCAGACAAAGGACGGCGATTACCCACAGGTGCGTCCAAGCTATAATAATTATTCTCCAACTTGGCTTGAAAACTGCTTGCAAATCTTCATTTAATAGCGAAAAATCATTGAATATAAATCTCTTATAATTCTATTTTTTAATTTTTCGTTTCTTAATTTGTTGTTGTTGTTGTTGAAAGAACAAATCTAAATTCATTTTTAGGGGTCACTGCTGTGACAATTGTGAGAAATTTGATTTTTAATTGCTTATCTCTGATGATTGCATTTTAAAAAAACAAAAATTTGATAGATGAGGTCCCTAAAATATTAAATCATTTGATTGGTCTATAATGGTTTCCCTAATCTTAATCTTGTCAGTCCTATTAGCTGCTTTTTATGCCTATTCGAGATTTCTTGTTGTTAAATTCAACATCAGTGGGAATACCTCTTTTTGTTTTTAAAAAGTGAAATAGAACTTTTTAATTGTAACATTAAATTGGCTAATTTACCGCTTTTTTATTCCTTCCTTTTTTCTGTACCTAATTGTAAGATTAAGAAACTTCTTGTTTAATGGCAGCGGAAATTTTCACTTAGTGCCTAGCAATTCATTGTCGACGAGCGTTTGAGCGCAGGGTTAAACTCTTCTTCCACTTTCTCCTTTCTTTGTGCGCTGTGGGCCCATAATCTATGCCTGCCACAGCAGCTATTAGGCTCCATCGCCCCGAGGTGATCTGTGGGGTTTTAACTTGGCAGACTTTTTACCAGAGCAGCGCAACTTACGAAAAAGCTGTCAGAACTTTTCCTAATGTTCATCCTCTAATGCACAGATAGCGTCAAACTTGTCAAAAGTATGCAAAAAATTATTAACATGGGTCCGGCGGAGAAAGAAGGTTTTGAATTAATGGCATCAATTTAAAAAAAAAGCCATGGAAGGAAACTTAATTAAGGTTTTGTTTTCTAAGGGAATACTTTAATTAATTTGGAAATCAAATACTACAAAATAATTTATTTTCATTTGATTAATTTTCCTGTCAATTTAAATTTTGGACGGACAGTAAAATTAGTATTTAAAATCAATTTCTTTCTGAATTCAATTTTAATTTGGAATAATTATTTGCTCACTTCTTTTATTTTCGAGAGTGTCTGTCTTGGAAATGCTGATAAGCGTTTTACTTTATTTGGCACTTCCGCTGCCAGAATAAAATGATTGCATCTCTCTCGAGCAGTGTGTTGTTGCTTATCGGAGTCGCAGTTGTTATATATTCTGGCTGTGCAAAAACCGATAATGGCCCTCGAGCTAACGCAATCTCTCTCTCATCTGCAGCGGATGGGCACGGTTCACGGCGAAGAGTTGCCCTACGTGTTCGGCGCGCCGTTAGTCGACGGCTTCAGCCACTTCCCGCGAAACTACACCCGCTCCGAGGTTTCCCTCTCCGAGGCTGTGATGCTCTTCTGGGCCAGTTTCGCACGCACAGGGTGAGTGCTCCGCTGGTTTGTTTTTTACTTTACGATTTTATCGCCAACGTCGTGCTAAGATGCTGCTCTTTACGCGGCACTGAGTGGCAAATGGGCCTCTTGCATTATTGACGAGATTGTCTCTCGTGTGTATGTACAAGCAGGGGTTAAACGCTTCACGCGTGGGTGCCGAGCCAAAGGGTTAATTTATTTTGCGGCTGCCTGAATTTCTACTCGGCAGATTATATTTTCCAACCAACATTTTTCAGTGCGCACCGCTCGTTTTCGTTGATGGTTTAATTAAAATTTTCATCAGCATTGCTAAAGAGGCGGAAATTGAGGCGTTTCTGCACATGAATTATGGATTTATTTTTCTATGTTTATACTAAAGTTTAAAAAAAGGATCACGCCGGCAAATGCTTTTTATTTTTAATTCTGAAAGTTGGACAAAAATTCGTAGCCGACAGTGAAATCGAACATTTCAAACCGACGAATTAATTTGAACCTCAATTTGGCACTGAATTAATATAGAATTTAATCATCTAAATTAGTTGATAAGTATCATCAATTCTTCTTATTGAATTTGTTAAGATTTTTGCAGTATTTTTCTTTTCAAATCGCACTTTTGCGTTCCTCCAAGCAAAAAACGGTTTGGTTTGTTATTCAGTTTTGTTTTCCCTTTTCCCGGGTGATTCGACCGACTTTCCGACTTGGCAACTTTCCGCTCGGAGGAAATAAACCGAGTCGCGCTTGCATGTCCCGCTGACATGTTTCTTTCTTGCGCCGCCGAAACAGGTTATATGAAACATGAAACGTCGGACGTGAAAAGTCAGGGAATGACTCTCGCCTCTCGCTTTCTTTCTTTTTGCCTGCGCCGCGAGTAAAAGTTTCAGAAAAAGTTTTTCCATTACAGCGATTTCACCGCGAATTCCCGCCTTCATTATTCAGTTAAAGCAAGCGCAGGTGCCGAAATTAATGCTGCTTCGATTTTCCACAGAGACCCCAACGAACACATGAAAAACGAGGCGATTCTTTCTGGCTCCAAGGAGAGAAACCGCTTCCGCAACATTGTCTGGGAGGAGTACGATGCTGTGCATCAAAAATATTTGGAAATAGGTAAAAAAATTACACAAAATTTTAATTTTAATAAGTAATAAATGAAATTAATACTTATGAAAATTAATTTTTTTAAGTATCTATTGATCAAACATAAAATTATAAATAAAAGTAACTAATGTGTAGTGAATAAAATACCATGAAAATTTTAAAATGACCATTATTTTTATTCCCAGGTATGAAACCACGCACGAAGAACCACTTCCGGGCGCACCAGTTGTCCGTCTGGTTGCGACTGGTGCCTGAACTGCACAGGGCGGGCATGGAGGACGTTTCCAGCCGCCACAATCTCTTCCGCAACCACAACGACCCAGACATTTACGACGGCTCAGTGCGCGCCCTGGACGCAATCTACTATGGCACCCTGGACGTGGATTACAGCACCTCAGGGCCAGGGCGGCGGGGTAACGACACGGCCCTTGCGCCCAGTGGTGAACCCATGCTGACCACGTGCGTCAGCATCATCGCCGCCCCCACCACCGCCTCCGGGCTGCTGGCCGGACGCAACCAGACGGACGCCATGGCCAGTCTGGAGGCCATGCCCGGCTACGGCGCCTACTCCACGGCCCTCAGCGTCACCATCGCCATCGGCTGCTCCCTGCTCATCCTCAACGTGCTCATTTTTGCTGGCGTTTATTACCAAAGGTAAATCTATAATAAATTTAACTTTGGCAATTTTATTTATTTCAAGGCCAAGCAATTCCACGTAAAATATGTTTTTTGTTTTTAATAGTTTTGAGATTTCAAACAGGTGAGTTAGAAAATCAATTTTTTATTTAAAAATTAACCGTAGACGTTAAATTGTAATTTTAAAATGGGTCCGACAACTTTTCAATTTGAATTTTTTTTAACACGATTTAAATTTTATTTTTAATGAATAATTATTATAAATATTGAAACATATTGAAAGAGCTTTTATCCAAAGTTTACCAAAAATAAAAAGATTGCTGTAGCTCTGCGAACTTTTATGTCTCCAACGATTTTTGTCTTAAAACAAATCTCAACAAAACGGTTTAATGACGCAAATGTCTTTAGGATTTAAAAAAAATGATATTATTTAAAAAAAAATTCAGATCAGATCATTTAAATATTCAATTAAATTCTCTTCTAATTAAAATGAATTTAAAAATTCAATAAATTCAATGTTAATATTTTGGGATAATGGGTAATTTTATTTGCAAATTAGGCACCTATGCCGGTGGTTTTCTATTTCTGAAATTGCCAATAAGTGTAAGCAGACTTTTCTCTATATCAACAATTTGCCTGTTTTTTTTGGAGATTATTTAATTAATACACCATTTTTCTGAAAGTTATTGGATGAAATTTTACGTTTCAAAATAGGCGATTAACGGAGAATTTCAGTAAAATTTTACAAAATTTCATAATAATATATGCTATGATTTCCCATGATTTAAAAACATTCTAAATATCTAAAATCACTATTTTAACAAATTAAAAGGTACATCTGAGCTTTTATTCAGTAAATTTTAGTTCTATTCTGACGTTGGTCTATTCTGTTTTTCCCATCCCTAAATATTACTTATTCCCAAAGTTCTTGTTGAATTATAAACTTGCCAATTTTCTTCTTTCAAAAGCACTCCTTCCCAGGAATAAGTAGGACATATTTTCGCACAACCCTATCATAAAATATCACATTTAAAAAAGCGCAATTCCTCATGTCTTAATTTTGGCACACGCTCGTAAACAAAAAGAAAGTTTCAGTGGCGGTGAAAAATTATTAGCTCGCCAAATAGCTCTCATAAAAGCACCAAGTCGTTCTTCCTTTTTCAGGGACAAGCACCGGCTGGAGGTGAAAAACATGCAGGAGCAGCAGCGCGGCGGCGTCGCCAGTTTCGCCGGCGACAAAATCCACCTGGAGGCGATGGACGACAACCCGATCACCACCACCGTCATCCTGAACGCGCCGACCACTACCCTGAGTCCGGCCGGCGGCATCCTCATGAACCAGCAGGGCTCGCCAACCTCCAAGGGCAGACACATGAGCAACAAGTACCACACCCTGCACTACATGCAGCACCTGGACAAGGCGCACCACGCCGCCGCCCCTCCCACTGCCACCGCCATCACCATCCTTGACCATCAACAACATATCATCACCCGAAATCAGGTATAAGCAAACAAAATATTTTAATATTAATCACAATCGTTTTTGTAAAAAAATTGCTGATAAAAAAATTAAATGATCCAATTTAATTTTAGAAAAAAAATGGTAAAATTACATTTTAATCGTGCTAGGATAAAAGATAAATTTTTTGTGTGTCTCCAAACAAACTTAAGATAATAGTCAAGTAAATTTGTGTCTAGATAGTGAAAATTCAATGAATCTATAATTTTTTTTTTAATTTGATACAAAAGAAAATATTCAGAGTTTCATGATATATTAGAGCGTGAAGTTAATAGATGTCAGTAATTATATACTTTTTGAAGAATTTTAAAGAATAATTTTAAATATATATTGATTGAAAAACTGAAAAGTCAAAAACTTAAAAATATAATTTAAAATATTCACATTTTGGATTTTTGTTTAGTTTACAAACTATCAATTAAACGAGTTACTTAAATAAATGATCAAATTCAGTTTAACACAATGAAAAAATTTGCAAATTTTTAACTTCTAAAATAAATGGATTATTTGTAAAGGTCGTTATCAGCACCAATATTATACATAAATAACATAAATAATAAAAAATGAAACCTAGATGTGTGTTTGAGGTTTGTATGAATTCTTGGAGTAATTTGATCCAATTTGGTCCAGTCTCCCGCACGCTGCATGTGTTCGCAGGTGCCGCAGTCAATGCTGATGGAACACTCGACGTTCCTGTGCCGGCCGCCGGAACACGCGACGGCCACGCCGCCCAACGGCTCCATGGTCCACCTGAACGTGCCGCGGCCGCCGCCGCCACCCCGCGTCGAGGCCAGCCACCTGGCCACCCTGCCGCGGCACAAACCCGCCTCCGGGGGCGGCGACAGCGACAAGTGCAGTGGCGGCGGACTGCCCCCGCAGGCCGACGTCCGAGTCTGACGCTCCGGTGCAGTCTGCTGCCAGTGTGACCAAGGAACCCCCCTGACCCCTCTGCCGGACAATCGCCGCCGCGCTAGTCTCAAATACCCCTCTCGAGTTATGTATAACTAAGGAGAAAAAGTCAGTTAACTTCTATAGCCCTCAGGTTCTTTAAACGCGCAAAGGGACAGCGAGTGCGGAGTTTGTGAGCAATTCGGAAAGCTAGCACGATGTTCTTCTTTTTCAAGCACACTTTCCATTTAAAGTAATTTTTTTCAAAGGCTGATGATGATTTTTTAAAGACAAGACCGGTAAATTTTTTAACATTTTCTTTGCTGAAATTTGACCAAATTTTATGTCCAACGTAATAAAATCGTATCATTAATTAAACTCCAAACCATGATTGCAGGTAAAACTTTTCTCCACAAATAAATTTGAATTGAATTTCAAAATCTTAAATTCCGGGCACTTTATCTTTTGATGGGAAGGTAAGCAAATTTTTCTTTGATTGTTCAATTAAAAAAAAAAAAAATTTACTGGTATGGGTCTTTAATTATTAATTCTGATTAAATTGGACTGATGATTGAAATTTATAATTTTTTAGTAGACTAAAGACTACTAATTATTGTGATAGTTAAGGTGGAATGAGTGAGGTGGCCTAGTGCAAAATATGCAACGTAGGTTTTAAATGATAAATAAAATTTGCAATCATTAAATTCTCGTAAATCTTCCGACTTTCATTTGATTTGTAAGATTCCGATTCAATTTATTAGAGGAAGAATTTTATGCTTATTTTTAATTCATTCCACCTTGAAAGCGTTTATTTGAAAAATTTGGCGCTCATTTCCATTCTGCACCTAAAAAATAAATTGTAATTTCAATCCTTCCAGTATCACTTAGTCATTATAGTGTTAAATGTTACACATCATAAATGTATCCAATTTCCTTAGGATCAAAGTGGTGCTCTTTAATACGTACTTTAACCAAAATAACGGCCTCTTGATTGCCAGAAAAATGTGCCAAATTTTGCGACGCACCACTTTTCAAGTTGATTTTTCGTATGTTAGATTTGAATCGTAGTCGTAGTAGATAAAATTATAGCGAATTGATTATTATTTTCGGTCCGAATTGCGCACAAACTCCTCCTATAAGCGAGCAGTTGTACTTTTTGTGAAGCGAGAAGAAACTCAACACACGCAAACTATAAGAGAAACTGTTTTAAATCGAGTGAAAAAAGTGAGCGATAAAAAATGAAGAATTATTCCGTACGTGTTTTGGTGCGAAAGAGTGAACACGAAAAGATTACACACGATCTGTACCGAATATGTTGTTGAAGTGTTACATTTTATATATGTAAAAAGAGATGACAATTTTTCTATGAGAAAATAACTATATTAAAAAAAGCAAGAGACACATGAGGTATATACGTAGATTTAAGAAAACTGATACGCTCGATCTTGCCAACACGCTATACCGAAGAAGAAAAAAAAAATAAGAAGAAGGAAGAAGAAAAGCCATCCTTGTTTGGAGACAATTATTTATTCTTGATGTTACACACGCGCAGATGATGAGAATAAAAATTGAAAGAAATCACTATTAACGTTCTGCGACGCGTATTTTTTTCGAGAGCTGCCTTTATTTATTTTCGAGAAGACAAACGGCGACACCCGCGCTTCTTTTTAATTGGACCGGCGTGTCAAAATGTCATTGTCGCGCCGCGGTGAAAGCTCGAGTGGTGCACTTCTTTGGGGGCTATTTTCAGCCGCACTTATATAGGGTCACTTTCGAAGGGGATTTTCTTCGTCTCGCAGTCAAAATAGCCAGCCTGTTTTCTTCTGATATGTGCGTGCGTCGCGCCAACTATGATTTTTTTTATACGACTGGCTCTAAAAATAATACGTTTCTCGTTTTTTCCTCCTCCAAACATCTGACGCGATATTATCCTCGAGAAATGTGTGAAACAAGATATATTTCAGAAAATATTAAAGACCCGCCGTCCCAAAACACTTCAGACACAATAATTTAGAAATACTTTTTAGATCGCCAAATTTCGTCTGAAATGCCTGGCGGCAAATATTAAATCACATTCGTTGAGCTGAAAATATTTGCTTTAAGCTTCAAGTTTTTATTTTAAGTATTTAAAAGGCACGAAGGTAGTGAAAATTGAGGTCTCAAAAATGTCTTCATTGTCAGTTGTTTGAGATATTGATTTGTGCTTTTGTACGTGGTCATTTTAAATTGTTGAACTGTGTTTTGTGTGGTTGATCAGCTTGTGTAAAAACGGAACAATAAAAATACAAGACAAAATGGGACAAATTGAAAGAAATGCTCAGGGATGAGAATTACAGCTTCTCAAATATTTTTTTGTGAGTCGCAGGCATATCAAATTTGCGATCTATTTTTTCTTGGCTTTTACAGATATAATTATATTTATTCTGCTTTATGGTAAATTTTGAAAGAATTTGCTGCTATGCTTATGTTTTTTAAAATTCAAATAATAATAATAATTATAAACTATTTCAATCGAGCTCAAAACCAACTGGAAATATTAAGCAATTTGAAAAAAAGGCAAACATTGAACATAATTCTCATCCCTTCAAATGCTTAAGACCGTAATAACTGGAATAATGACACTTAAATCTACATCAGCAAAACAATAATTTCCTAAGCTAACAATTCTCTTCAAATAATTATATAAAAGATTAAATTATCCTTGAGCTAAGTAAATAGATTTAACAGTCTGATAAAATATAAAATCATCACACCGAGCTGGTGGTGACGTTCGGATCGAATTTTACGTGCTTCACAGTCCCCGTCGAATTGTCACTCGTCTCGGGCGACGGCGACTTATTGTCATCCTGCACCATGGACACCCGCGGCGTTCTGTCCGACGGTTTCCTCGGCAGAATGCTCGGTTTGACCACCACTCTGGGTTGGGTGACCACATTATTATTTGTGGTCGAATTGAAAAAATTGCTCTTAGCCTCCACGGCGGGGGTTCTTTTGTTTTCCGAATCGCCCTGCTTTCCTTCCGACGCCGTGGAGGGGCCTTTGCTGTCCAGGACCATCGGTTTGCTCTCGCGACTCGGCGTCCGGGACAGCAGAGCGGTCGTCCGAGGGGGAGGGGCCGGCCTGACCTTCAGCTGGGCGTCCTGGAACTGAACGGGCGGCTGCAGGTGGCCTTCGATGGGCAGCGACCGCCGCTTCATGATACTGTCCGGTATTGGTTCAGCCGGCAGGACCCGAGGGTAGTTTTTGCGGCGCATCGTGTCCAGCGCGTCCACCGCCATGACGTTGCCCACCGTGCGCTCGTCCAGGGACGTCACGTTGATGTCCTTGAAGGTCACTGGGGTGTGAGTTTTTGGAATACCAGGATCAACTGAAATCAAATTTTAAGCGTGCATTTTAAATTTGATAAAAAAAATCATAATTCATATTTTGAGTTTAAAAAAAAATTAGCAAATAATTTTTTTCACATAAATATGTTTATCTTCAACTTGTCATCACCAGGCCAGTTTCAAATTTAAACAAAGCTTGTTTTTTCAAATATAAAATTTTGAATTCCTACTTCCTACATCATAATTTAGTAACATGAATTTTATTTAAAATTACAGCTCATTTTGCAAGGCACGATACAGATTTTTCTAGAAACATTGAACGTAATGGGCGGAGTTGCATGAAACGGCTTATATATAAAAAAAAAATAAATAAATGCGAGTGATTAATTTTTCTTGTATTGGAAAATTGAATAGCACAGTATAATTTTTGTAATTTGAAAATTTGAATGAAAAAATTTAGCAAGCAAGTTAATTAAAGCTTCACAAAAAATTTGAAAAAATTTCATTCTAATACGGCCTTAATTTGCTCAAATTTGAATTATTTTACGCATGAAATTAAGCAAACTAAACTCTGCACAAGATCAATAAGTCGTGCCTTCTGATAAATGATTCAAAAATAAAATATTCAAGCTGCGTTTCCCTTCATAATTACGAATGAATTAATGAGTATGTAAAAAAACGGTAGTAATAGAGAATGAGAAAAAATAATTTATTATTGACCCGTTGAAATTAGAGTGAAATGTTAGACAAACCTAATACGAAAGCGGTGGCAAAACCGAATCAATTAAATTTTGATTCTTGGTGAAAATATTTTCAATTTAATATTTTACATTACATACAAGTTTGGAAGAAACTGTAAATGTTTAAGAGTTGCAAATTTTTATAAACAATTTAGTTTAAAAAAAGAAATAGTTTAATTTTGAAAATAATGAGAATGTTTTTTATTGTAAAATTTATAAAGATATTATATTAGAAATATTCGATTTAATAATTCCCAAATGAATAGAAAAAAAATAATAAAATGAAAACTGACCAATTGAACTTCTGGGGGAGGGGGTGAGCACGATGGACGCCGAGCTCTTGGCAGGGTAGAAACTAGCCTTGGGCGGGCTGTCCTGGACACTCTCGCTGAAGTTGTCGGGCGAGACGTCGTGCGCGATCCAGTCGCGCACCCTGGCGCTGGCGTCCATCGCCGCGTTGTTGTCGTTCTGCGAGAGAACCCACGGTTTTCGTGCGCCGTCCGGAGGACCGTCGGCGTGTCCGTCATGGGACGAGGCCGAAGTGAGGCCCATGGTGGTCAGCACGCGCTGCTCCTGCACGCGTAACTTCTTGCGCTGATAATAGATGGCGGAGAATGCGACGAGGTTGATGAAGAGGAACAAAACCCCGAGCACCACCGTGAGCCGCAGCACCGACGCGGCGCCGCCGAGCAGGATTCCCGCAGGAACGGCTTCTTCGGTTGTTGCCGTGATTTCCGCGTCGTCGCGGTCATTCGGGTGGTCAGCGTGACCCTGCGGATCGGTTGGGATTTCGGTGAACAGAAAGGGGGGCAGCGGGCCGTCCGGGTAGAAAATGTCGTGCGTCCAGTCGGGCTCAACCATGGACGGAGGCAGGGGAGGGGGTGACGGTCGCAGAAGGTGGACAGTGTCGCGACCGCTCGCGTCGTCCTCCAGCATCTGCGGAAGGTCGCGGTTCCAGAATTCCATTGAGCTGCGTTTGTACTGGCGACGGGTGTCTGGAGGAATTCCTAAAAGATGAAAAAGAAAAATTTCTAAATTGCATAAAATAATTTATATTAACAAAATTGCCTTAATGTCACGTAAAATTGAATTAATAGGTTGCAATTATTCAACTTTCAATATATTTTTTAATTTTTTATGTTGTCCTGCTTTTTTTTTATTAATAAATATATATTTTTAAATAAATTAGGCATAGCCAAAATCTTCTGATGATTTCTGTTTAAAAATTATAACTGAAAGCTCTAATAATGTGAATTATTATATTTCATGATTTTGTAAAAAGACATATTACTAAAAAATGACTTTGAAAATTCAAAATTAAAAGCTCACCTTGATTTTTGAATTAAAATATTTCATAATATAATGAATTAATTTTAAATACATTGATTATTATAATGCGTCAAAAGTACTTGAATAATTTAACTTCCATATTTTTGCATATTTTCAAACTATCTCTCGTTTTTCTGCTTTTGAAAATTGAAAAATGATGATATAAAATAGGAAAAAAAGCGCTTTAAGAATTGCAATTTTAACCAAAACTTTACTAAAAATTGTCCTTCTTTGTAAGTAATTTTATCAAAGGAAGTGCCACATTTATCACATTTATCATACATGGCACACGCTGAAAATGTGTTCCGCACAGGTTAACGCGAGTGGAGAAAGCGTTTCGCAAGTAAATCGCAGGTAATCCGTCTGGGATTATTACATCAGCAAGTCTTAAAGGGAAGATGGAAGGGCTAATTCCGGGGGCAGCGACAGCGAGACGTGCCGGAGGCGGGCGGCGAGGCAGAAGCGATTGATTACTCACCTATCCTGAGATAGGTCTGGTTGGAGGTGTCGTACTCGGGCCAGTCGAGGTCCTTGTGCCGCCACTCGCGCCCGCTCGGCGCCGGAAAGCTCGCCTTTCGGGGCGCGTTCGGGTTGCTGCAGATAAATCTTGAGCCATATTAAGTCGACAGCCAGTTAAAAATGACGTACCCGGTTTTGGCAAAGTTTGTCCACAGATCCATCATGGTCTGCGACAGCGCCGCCTCCGGCTGCGTGAACTTATGGTGGAAGTGGAACCTGCCCCCGTCCAGCGGAACGCCGAACACGTACGGCAGCTCCTCGCCGTGGATGCTCTCCGGAATCTGCAAATTATACAAAAAAGTTATTACAATACGAGAATTTTAATTAATGATTACAGATAAACTCCGAAAAAGATTGGTAAAATTTAAAAATAAGTAGCAATAAATTAAGAAATGTTGATATCAATTTCTGAAGTAGGGAATATTTAATACCTCTAAAATTTATGGAGATGGAACTAAAATTATAAATCTGAAGTCCTAGATTTTATAAAATATTTTAAATGCAACTTCCAAAAATTTTCAAAGCATTTTATTTTATTATAATTGTAATTTATTTTATATAAAAAGTATTGTTTTTGTTTTAATTTAAAATTTTACTCAAAAATACTACTGTTATTAATAAATAAGTATTAGGGGAATTTTAATTTTACATTAATTTTTATTTACAATGTGTGTAATGCTTATAAATAACAATGTTCCTGTTTGAAATTTTGAGAGTTTATCCTGAACCAGGACTTTTTTTTAGCTGGAAACATTTTCTCTTCTCTTCTCATTAAAATTAAATTGACATTGATTTTTATAATTTTGATTAAAATAGCTTCTCACGCCTCACCATTTTGCAAATTAGATAATAATTTAGATTGTTAAAATTTTCTAACAAAGCCATTGAAGCTACAAAGTTTGAGCAAAAATACGCACACCATTTTTAACATTTAATTTGAAAAATTAAAAAAAGCCCCATTTTCTATAAGGGGAAAAAATCTATAATTTTTAGAAAATAATATAATTATTCTGCATTATAAATGTTTCTTTTAGAGAGTTTTTAATTTTTTTCTTAATATTTGACCCATCTGCTAAAAAAAAACCGTATATTATATCTTGAGAGCTTGGCAGTTTGAAAGTCTGAGCATATAAAAATCAATATCCAGTGTCAAATTTTGAGAAAGCAGGCGATGATAAATTATGTTTGCAAACAACCATTGTGTGGATAGAAAGCCTAAAGTACCTGGCTTGAGTGGCACTCAATAGCAAGTGCCGAAAGTGCGTTTTTGTTTTGGAATTTTAAATTTATGACTATACGCATCATCGGAAGAACTTGAGGAGGAAAATAATACTTTTGTAAATACCTTATCCCTGCAGATATAAAACCTATTTTTAACCATTAGTGAAGTTTGGGCTTGAAAAGTTTCAAATAGAAGCCTTATTAAAAATGTAATCATTTAAGGAGCTCATCAACTGCAGGGTCATCCGGCCGAAGAATATCAAATCAGCAAGCTTTGATCAAGCAAAGCTCTTTCTTACATTGCTTCTTTCTTTGCAACCACGCTTCGCTGGTCATCGGCCTCGGCGCTTTCGCTGAGCCGCTTTTTTCATTCCGAAAAACAAAAGAGAGGAAAATGCCGGCGGCGGCACATTCATTTTTTTTCTCTGGCTAAAACTTTGTGTTTTACGAGGGTAATTTTAAAGCTGTAATTTCTGCACGAGTTCAAATAATAAGAAAGAGGGACTCGCTCACGTGCCGGGCATAAATCATTTCGGACCAGCAGAAAAGCAAAATCCAGTCTCGCGGCGGCGATGGATTAAATAGAATTCTCGAGTACACTTGTTCAATTTCGCGCGCGAGCCCAGAGTCTGTACCGCGCGCCGTAAATCAATTAGAACTGGCGAAATTCGTGGCGCGAGAACTGCAAATGAGTATTAATGGCACCGCGTCAAAACATACCGCCAAACACGCACTCTCTTCGCTCTCTCTCTCTAGTTTCGAGAATTCCAAAGAGCATCTCAATGCCAATTTTTGCAAGGGAACGCCGCCAATCTTCGGTTACGCCCGATTTAAATTCTTTCCACAGAAATTAATAGGGTATACAAATAAAAAACTGTGGTCATTTCTGTTCTGAAATTGAAAAAGAAAACAGCTGTAATAGCTTGTGAGCTTTATGCAACCCGCAAAACTAATATGCAAAGTAAATTTATTATTAAATATTTAATAGATATTTGAATATTAATTAAATTTTATTATTAAATTTGATTTTTATTCCATAACTTTCTTCACCAAGTGAAAAAAAATATGAACATGAAAGGAAAAAATAGCGATTGAATGAGAAGTGTTGTTCTGGTTTAAATAGCAGGATTTTTACAAAACAATAACTACAAAATATTATTTTGTTTCAATTCCCTCGACCAATTTATCAAAGGCTTTAAAAGTCAGTTGCTGAGGATTGGCGATGTTCCCTCTACCAAGAATCTCATCTGCTCTTCTACGGAACCAATTTTCGTCGGCGTTTTGCTTTGATAAGACGAGAAAGAATGTTTCATATAACAATTTATGGCGCGAGTGTTCAAAGAGTTTCATACTTTCAACAAGTTTTCGCCCGGTGTGCGTTTTTTTGGAAACTCCTCTTAGGTTCCTGCCCCATCAGGGAAGGATATTTTCGCCGCCGCCGTTGCTCACTCAGGAAGAAAACCTCTCAAATTGAGTGGTTGAAAAGCAGCTTTCGTCGTTTCTTCGGGGGTTGTGGATTTCAGAGCGCTTGCTTTCTTTTGCATTGTGTTTGCACCAATTATGTGATGGAGGAACTCGAGCACGGCATTTACCGAGAGGAGCAAATAATTCGACTTAACGAGACACTCCACCAGGCTCCATACATTGTCTTGGAATAGATTTCCGAAGCAGAGTTTGTTTGGCTCATTGTATGGCAGGTCTGACATTCACGAGTGTGCGATTTCATTGCAAATTTCCTGAACATTCTCTCTTGGAGTCTATTTGTGAGTTGATGGCAAGTTCCTCTGTCTATTGAATTAATGTTTATAAGGATAATAATATTCATTGTGAATGAAAGATCTCTATACTTAAGTAATACGTTTATGTCATGTTCACAAATTGCTATTAAATTTGATAAATTGAATGCAAAAATCATTTTCATACCTTCTAAAAAATTATTTTAAATTGGATAATAGAACAATAACTCAACAAAGTGTCTCTCTTATCAATACAAAAGGGTTTTTATTTTTACTTTCCGTAGATTGAGTTTGAATCACAATTGGATAGCAGCAATAATTTATATACCATTTAACACACCAGATGAACATGGCATTTCCTATAATTTAGTAGTAAGATTTAATACTGACACTAACATTCAAATGTAAAGATTGATAATTTAATAATTGAAATATATTTTTAAAATTCGGCCATTTTAGGTATGTTATTAAAACGAAGCATATCAGGAAAGATATTAAAATCTGTCACCAAATTCAGGTATTGCTTCATCTAGAGTATCAGATTTTCCTAATGGAAAAAAGTTAATTGAATTCGAAAATTTCACTGACGCAACATTTTTCCAAAAGCATAATTATTTCTTTCAGTAACCAATTACTTGATTTTTTTTTTTTTAAAGTAAAACTAGAAATTTATACATAAAAATTCATTTTGCTTGGAGTTTCGTAATAAAAGCATCAAAATTAACTGGAAGAAATCAGAATATTAAGTACACACTACCAAAAAATCTCCTACTTATTGTTTTTGCTTGAACGCCCACAAAATAAATTTTCTCTTGTATCACAGTGACCAAATTTTTAAATATTATCCTTTTTCCGGAATAAATTTTTGTGAGAGATATTAAAAATTAAACAGTATAAAATAATTTTGTTTTATATTTTCAAAGAATTTGATTTTTTTTGTAGGAAGAATTAGAGAACATTTTGAAAGTGCAAACTTGAAAATATCCACGTCTTTGACAAAGTACACCTGTATTAAGTGTTTTTCAGTGTGAAATTTCAATTCCTTTTTTAGATGAAAATTCCGCCGACTTGAAAAATTCCCGTGTGCTAAAAATCTCGCGTTTCAGGCAGGCGGAAAATCGCCATCAACTCGGCGTCCGTCCATTACTCAAAAGGCTGCAGCGAGGAAGAAAAGAGCGTTTTTTTCCGTTCCATGAACTTGGGCGAAAATTGGGTAATAATTCAAGAGGCGCGCAAATCTGATGCGGCGATAAAACAAGGAGCGGCGAGCGAGCGAGTGACTAAAATCCACCGGCCAATTCATCTCTGATGAGTCGAAAGGGTTGATAAAAGCAAGCGGCCAATAAAAGTAATTTATCGGGGCGCGCAAATGAGTGGCAAACAGAAAAGTAAAAATACGGCGCTCGCTGCAATGGGCTGGAAAACGGGAAAGCGGTCGAGCGGTGGCGGCGGCCGAACCAAATATGAAAATCGATGGAGCCGCGCGCAGCCCCCCGCGTGTTTGGTCGCGGCAAGCGACGGCCAGACGGCCGCGAAATTCTTTGAAAATTAAAATGCCGAGAGTTGAAAATATGCCAGGAGCCGCGCGTGTCGAAGAAAAAAGCAGACTGGACGCCGGCAGCTGGCACCGCTCGTCAAATTAGCATTTCGCCTCATTCCTCCTTGCGCGAGCGAGCGTGCGTTATTATTATTCTCGGCCGCGTCTCATTAGGAATTCGGACGCGCGGCGCCCGCCGGACACCCACCTTTGTGCAAAATAATATCAGCGGAACAGTTTACGGATTTTTCTTTTAAAAGAATTTTCGATTACTTTTCAAAACTTTTTGTTTACAGTTATAAGTTGGATTTCCCCAGTTATAATTCGTAATTTAAAATTTTCATTGAGGGTTAAATTTCCATTGAATGATTTTAAAATCAATACTACAAAAAAAGTAATTGATATGATAATTTTGAATTTGTAATTAATGTTACTTAAATACTTAAAAGTGAGAATTTTTCGGGTTATTCGTGGCTTCTGCCGTATGCGCTCGTTGAGAGGTGCGAAATAAAGCGAGACGCTATCTTCGTGCGATCAAATTTGCACACGTGCGCAAACGGAACGATCTTTGTGTTCGCCAACCAACTTTGAACTTTCGCCTTGCACTTTTGATTTTGTTAATTTGCGGAGAGGAGCTCTTAATCGAGGCTCGATCAAGGGAGAAATTGCGGCACGGGTTTTGCGATAATTGCACGCTTGGAATTGAAGTTGATTTTGCACACACAAGAGCGCCTTATACAACTTGGACTCTCTCGCTCCATCCAACTTGGAACACAAAAGTTGCTCGGTGGTAAACTTTGCACAGCTTAATGCACTGTTTAATAATCCATTTTTGCCATACTTCGTACTGCTGTTGATGGTTTCTCGAAACCTGTAGGTGGCTCGAAGTTCACGGAAGGGCGCCTTTCCTTGCGCAGGTTTGATCTTGTTAACAATCACTTTATTAATCGCTGAAAGTTTTGTAATCAAACTTAAGCTACGTTAATTTCAACAATAAAATTGATTTGATGAAATGTTGTTTGCTCAAGACACTTATAAATGTCTAGACTCTGACTAACAGTAAGATATTATGAAGAATCGTTTTACGGGTATTTTTTTAAAATTAGAATTTAATTTCACGAAAAAGATTTGAAGATGATTTAACCACTTTTTACACAAATTTACTGTGCATAATAAATTTTTTATAAAAATTGAAAGAAAGTACTTCAAAATAATCTATTACTTGTCTAGTATTTAAATATGTATTTTAGAAAAATTGATAAGGTGAAAAAAGACTTTAACTGGACTTTTGTGCGACTTAACCTGAGACTTTAAAATAATATTTGAGCCGCAAAGATACCTTTCTCATCATTCTGTGATAAAAATTTAAAAATAAAACACAAATTTATTTTAAATTTTAGCATATTTTAGCTGTCAAAAAAGTTAATACATTAAAACATTTTGATTGAATCAATTAGAGAACATTTTTAAATAAATATTTAAAAAATAGAAATACAATTTGAATCTGATTCGTCATTGGTTTTTAATTAATTTCTAGATAAATTGGGAGCAATTCAATGCAGTATTCGAGCGTTCAAGCGGAGAGTGGCGCGTGTCGCATCCAAAATCGATAAGTCTCCCGCTGGGAGTCGCGTAAACAATACAGGAGCGAACGACAATGGTAGTAAATCACAGGAGTGTATCGCTGATGGCATTCCAATGAGTAATGCCGCGTTGCCGATAATACGTATGGAAAATCTCATTGTTAACGCGCGCGCCACGGAGAGAGTTCGATCGAGGAAAGGAAAAGCAGTAATTGCAGCCCTCCGAGATAGGGAGGATGCTGTAAATCTGGCTTTGGAATTGTTTCCGGCACCCTCTCGCCAATTCTTTTCTTCAAAATCCGGCCGCGTGTCGCGAATCTTAAGGATTTTGTTTGCGTGCAAGACTTGAAAATTCCTCGCGGGCGTCAACATAAAATTGCATCCGAAAGAGAGAGAAGAGGGAAATTTATGCCTCAGGGCTAAAGAGCCGGGAAAGGAAGGAACTGAAATTACTTCCTCCAGAGACGAAATTTATTATTTATGTACCCAGGTATATGCGGGAAGATGGAGAGAGGCCGAAATTTAAAATGAAATTGCCAATTTACGTAAAAACGCTTAAAACACGGGAAATTTTTATTTTTAATTTTAGATTTTCTTTTAACAAATTTGACAGAGTTGTGTAAAGGTCAAGTAAACATTTAATTAATGTAACATCGAAAAAAAATTAAAAAGTGCCCAAACTTCCCACGGGTGGGCGGCGTTTTAAAAATAAGTAAAGGCCTGTGAAAAAATTAAATTTTTCTTTTACAAACAAAGTAGATTTTAAGCAGACCAGGAAGTCCTGTTTAAAAAATTGATTACGAAGTTAAATAACACATTTTTATTTGTAAATGAACAATAAAATTGTTATTTTCAAACACTGTAAATCGTGAATTTGGGGTTTATAAAATCTTATTTAATTTAATTTGATGTATAAACTATGAATTTCGATTTTCCGAATCAAATACGTTTTTAGATTTTAATTGGAATTTATTGGGAGCACATTTAATGAATGTGAATTTTAGTAGTAAAAATATTATAAACCAAATACTTACTGTACTATGAGGCTTTAGTACAAATTAGAGATAATAGTACAATTAGTAAAAAACGGGCGAACATACTGATTAAAAAAAAAATGATTTTAATTTTCCTCAAAATTGCACATATAGTTTAAACGATGATAATTATGCTTTTTAAATCAGCTGATTTTAATTCTCAGCCACCCAAATTTGAGAGCATAAAACAAAATTCTATGTTGTTGTGTTGAGTAGAAAACCAATTTCATATTATTCCAGGAAACGTTAGAGCTCAATTCCAATTTTCGCTTTGGAAATTTTGTAATAATCAAATAAGCTGAAATTTGAAAAATGAAATCGCAAATTGAGTGACGAGAAAGAGAGTGAAAAACGGCTTTCGCGCGCAGGCTTCGCTGCAAAACGTCAATTATAGGAAGCGGGGCCCTTTTGTTATTTGCCGCCCTGTCAATTAGCGGCGCACAATGCGCGGCCGGGGCGTCAATTTGCGACCAGATAATAAATCGACCCCCAGCGGCTCTCTTGCAACTTTTTAATCAAAAAGTTTCCTTGTTCTTGTATCTTACGCCGTCGAATCACGTAATTCTGGACTGGAGAAAAGTCGAGGGAAAAAATAATTTCTATTCAAAAATCGTCCCAGGGCAGAAAAAAATCAGTCATCTCAAGTGGTGCCATTTATTTGCCGAGCCACTCGACGACTTGATAAAAATCGCTGCGCACTCTCCGACGGAGGAAAGAGACAGAAAGAGAGGGCAGAATTGAGTTTGGAAGGGTGAAGTGAAAGTAATAAAATCATTTCTTATAAAGACGCCCTACACACACCGTCAGCAGAGTGATAAAGACGAGCCTGACTGACTAGCTGCTCTTCCGAGGAGGAAAATGGAATTTCCTCTTTTCTCTCTGGCCTCTCTGGCTAGACCATCAAGTCTAACTGACTGACTTGAAATATCTAAACAAGTCGGCCGAGAACACACACGATTTATCATAATACCCGTTGTTCTCATTCCGTCTGAGCTAAAAAGTAAATAAGAATTTTACAACTCAATTCTCTACATTACGGTACGTCATGGTAGAGGACTGACAGTTTTATTAGATGGAGAGGGATATCTTGATGAATGACTTAGCCGAATGCTGGCAAAAAGCTGCTCCACTTGAGATCTCGCACTACTTTTGCCTGTCGCCGCCGAATTAAGTCGTTCGCAAGCAAATTGAAATTGAATTTTATCGCGCGGCCTCAAGGGTGCTTTTTCTCGGTAAACTTTTTTAAGAGCGAACCGCAGAGACGTCGCACAGTTCGGGAGCTAGAATTGAATGATTGGCGGATTTATTTGCCGAGATGGCAGAGGTGGAGAGAAATGAAGGAATTTAATCAATTCATCAAAAAAAGAAAGAGGAGCGTGAAAGTAAAAAGGAAAAGGCAACGTTGAATAACTGTTTAAAATTAAGTAAAAATTTAATTCATCAACTATTCTTCATAATTCTTAGAAATTTCGTGAGGAATGATATAATTCATGTACTTTAAATTTCCATTTTATTGGTAAAGCCTGTTCTATTTTTTTTTTTTTTTTTTACTTTAAAAAAAGGAAAAAAAATTGAAATATAGAAAAATTTAAAAAGGTTATATGTTAATATTAAAAAAAAATAAAAGTGTTATTTGCGGTTTATAATGTGATTTAGAGGTGAAAAAGTCTCTTTTGCCAAAATTAGACCAATCTTAGAATTGGTTGTAAAGAAAAAATGTCTTGTAAAGAGATTATTTCCAACTATTATAGAGATTCTACTTACTTTAATTAATATTCTAATATTTACATTTAAATTTTGTATTCAAAATTTGAGTAAAAAATATTTGTCTGTTTTAAAGGCAGGAATTAAGCCCTTAACAAAACAGTAAAGAATGAAATTTTGTACTCACCGCAGGGTAGTCGCCATATTTGGACCTGTGCGTGAAGACGTAGAGGTACGACTTGGGATTGACGACAGAGTGGAAGTTGCCCATCTGGACGAGCGGCGCCGTCGTCCTGGCGTCGGTCAGAATGCTCAGAAGTTGGTCCCTGGTTTGCTCCGCGGACACAGTCTGCTCGTGGCCGCTCACCTGCCAGCCAGGGTTGTACCTTTGGAGGACCCTGGCGAAAACGGCATCCGGCCGCAGCTCGTAACGCGCCGAGATGTAATTGTGCAGCATTTGGTCTCGCTCCTGCTCCAGCATGCCGTACGCCAGCGAAACCGCGTCCAACATGTGGTAGCTCTCGATTTCGGACACGCCGTACATCAGATCGTACCTGAGAAAAACAAATATTAAGTTTTCGATGAAGAAATAAAAATATGAATTTTAAAATTGTAAATTCTGAAACTGTAATGATTAAAAATTGATAATTTTAGGAGTTGAGAACTATTTGACTATTAAAAAATATTATTTATTTTTTTTCTACGTGAAATTTTAATAATACCATTGCATTCTAGTAAATAAAGAACAATTTTTACTTATGTACTAAAAGTTCACAAGGCAACTTTTGAGGCTCAAATTTTAGTTCAAAAGTATTTGGTTAAGTTTCTCTTAAGGAAAATCTTATGTTTTAAAGGAAAAATATATTAATTTTATTTATATTCAAAAATTGAAAAAAAAATCGCAGTGCCACAATTTGCAAAGATCGATCGTTAGAATGAACCTTTCTGAGATTATTGAAAAAAAAATGACTTTTTTCATCTGCGCTAGACTGTGAATTACTTTTTATTACGACTCGCAATTGACCCACAGTTCAAGTTGCTCTTGATAGAGAAAAAAATGTTTAATTTATTCTTGAAGAGAACTAAATGCTTTTGTCTAGCGAAACTAGACAGATCAATTAATTGCAGTATACAAGTAAGAAAATATTCCTAGCGTTTGTATGGTGTTTTCGTTGCGTGGGTTGCAGTCAACTGCTAAAATTGTCTGTTGACAGAGAACTCTGCTCTTGAAAGGCTTTCCAAGAGGAAGCAATTTTGCAAAGCTGCGTAACTAAAGAGAAATTGCTTTTTTTTGTCGTGGAAAGAATCTTCTGAAGCTTAAAATCCTACAAAAATCACTTTCTTGGAATTTTAATTACCGTTCAAAAATTAATTAAATTCAACATTTTAGTATTTTTAAATTCATTGAAAATAAAATTTATTGCAAAATAAACAACTTTGTTTTCCCGTGTCAAATGTTGGAATGTTTCTTTGGACAGTTTTCAACTCTCTCTCTCTTATAACTTTTATGACAAGTTTCTTTGATGTAAGTTCTTGGCATTCGAGTTTTTATTCAAATTTCGCTCGAGCCATAAAAAGCATGGCAGCGAATGTGGCCTAAGTTCGCACACACCGAGACTAATTTATTACTGCAGACACTCGACATGGCAGAGCAAGCTGAAATATAATGCAGCTCGCGGTCCGAAATGCACTTTTATAGTTCTTTTTGCAGCGCCGCAACGGACCATCCATCTTGCCTGTTTAATCTCTTTAGTCGAATGGCACTTTGCTTTTGCTCGCACAAAAATAAATTCCACCCAAGGAGAGGAATCCGTGCGTCGACAACGGATGTGTATCCAAACTTGCGGAAACTACCGAAACTTTGGCAAAAGCGAAAGGGTGGGCCACAAACTTTGGCCCGCCCTTGTTATTTGAGTTACACTGCGGCGTGTGTGTTTGTCTTGAGGCCCTTTTGTGCAGATTATGCATGGAATTATGCAGGTGGCGCATTTCCGACGTGTCACCCGTTTTGCCACCGAAAATTCCCCCTTTTTTTTATTTCCAGCAACCGATTTTCTCGCGCGACCGATCAAAGGACTGCCGGACGCGCGTTTTCCCGGATTATTTTGTTGATTTGAGACCCACCAAAGCGTTAACAAGGCGCACGGAATGAAAATAAACGCGAACAAATTGGGTCGAGGCGGAAACATTCGCGTTTGAAATGCGAGAGCGAATTTGCTTTGGTGTTTTCTGAAGGAAAAAAATCCCCGCCCAGTGACAGAAATGCCATTGAGGCGAACCAGTTAAGCGGAAAATTTGCGAGGCAAAAAGCGGAAAAAGACTCTTGGAATTGCATGGAAACAAAATTGTAATGATTAATTAAATTTGAGACGAGTAAAATATTTGCGGCAACAAAATATTGAATACTTTCTTGGCAAAATAAGTGCTACAATTATTAAAAGATGCAAAAAAATTACTTGCTCTTCAGTAAATATATTTTCAATTCAATATATAAGATAATTACAAGATTTTTAGATGTTTTTTTTTTTAATGAAAAATATCAATAATTTATGTTTACAAATTAACAAAATCTAGAAAAATTAGATAAAAGAGATTTTTTAATGTTTTTCTCTTACAAATAATAAAATGAAAATAAAATAATTTTTGATTAAATTAGAAAAATTGTCCTTTTCCATAATAAGATCTTTGAGTCACAATATTTTTGTCATAGCACATAAAATAAATATATCCTGCTTTACAAAATATTTTGGCTACAGCCATAATTCATTAACTGAAATTTTTTTAATAACAATGTTTTCTTTCGTTACATTTTTAACGAAGCTTAAGATATTGACGAAAATCAAGGGTGTAAAAATTGCGTTGAAAAATTTAAATGTTGTATTAATTATTATATAAAATTTTCTTCAAATATGGAAGTGTAACAAGTTTAAAACTAGCCCTTTTTTATAGCTATAGGGTAAGAAAAAATGTCAAGTTTGTGCCGTGGAAGTCTATTAATTTAAAATTTGCAATGCTAATTTTGAGATATTTGTTGTGAACGTATAATATAATTATACTGCCTCATAGTTAGCTTTGGTATAAATTATTTATAGATATCAATGTTGACGTTAACAAGTCAATATAGAATTACATTTTGTATATAAATTCTTTTGAAGCAATGATATCGAATCCTCTCACTCGTAAAATGAAGCTGAAGCTAAGCCTTCCTCTTTGATGCAAAAATACACCCTAATTGGGAATGTATAGGGAAAAAAGTGATTTCACAGAACTTGTTGATGTAATATGTATCCGGTCTATTCGCATCAAAAGATCTTTAACGGCGGGCGTGGGATGTTGTGACAGAGAGGCTCGACCTCGCCGGCCTTTAAATGAGTGGAATCCAATAAAGAGAGGGAGGAAGAATCAAGCCAAGTCGTCCCCAAGCGACTCACAATAAGATATTTTGGGACCAAAAGGGGATCGATCGATGAATGGCCCCCAGAAGAGCCGAAAGGGTTGCTGCGTGATTCTTTTTTTCGTCAGTCCGTATAAGATGGGGTGGAAAAAAATGTCACCAAGTGCTAAAAGCTAAGAGTTCCACATCCCCAAAGGCAAAGAATGTTGTTGGTTTTTCAATTGGCTTGGCATTGCTTCTTATTTACATTTCTTTCGCGCAGCTGTTTCGAGCTTGTTTTCGAAGCGAAGTAAGAAGTCTTGCGTTGCCTCGAGCACCGAAATCAGTGAATTTTTAATGCGACGAGTCTCTCTATTCTGCGTGTACGTGTTGTGTGTCAAAAAAGTTACTTTCGGCTCCTGGAGCAGGAGAGAGATGGAGTGCCTGGCTGGAATTAACAAACCCTGCTGCTGCTGCTGCGAGGCTGTCTGCGAATTAAGTTTAGCGCGAATAAACTCCTTAAGCCCGGCTTTGGTAATAAATCGCGAGCGCGAATATCAACAAGAATTTTGAGTAGAATGCCGACGGAGATTTTTTGGCACCTCGCTTATTGTGAGAGCGACAGAATTAGGGTATTTTTAAATTTAAATGAGGCAAAAATAACGGCTGAAAAACTCAAACACAATGTTGGATAAACAAACGCATCCACCCGGTGTAAATTAGAGTGAGAGGAAAAAAATACCTCAAAGGCCTAGAATTAATTAAAGAGTGACGTTAATTAAACAAACAGAAATGATTAATCCCATGAGAGTCCTGGTACTGAAAGGGTTGGAAAAGATCTAAAATATACATTTATATTTGATGAAATAATATGGGATAAAAGATTCCAACGTTTTTCAGGTGAAAATCAAAATTTTGCTCAATTTGAAAAATTATACATCTGTAAATTAGTTTTCAGAAAATATTTCAAAACAAAAATCATAAAGATCAATCAGAATTTGAAATATATATATATTTTAATTTATCGTGCTGTCAAAGAACGCAAACGGGATGAAAATGAATTTTATTTAATGAAATGCACATTAACTTTAATCGGGAAGTTTTAGAACAAAAATTATTAAAAAATCATCAGCAAAAGTAATTTAAAGAAATATCAAAATCCAGACTATCCTGTAATATCTAAAAAGCTCTTTAATTGTAAATGACAATAAACGTGGAAATAATTCTTCAAAATTGCGCACATCAATTTGAATTGCTAAAAAAACATTTGCTGACCTGCTGAAGAGCTCTCGGTAGACACCCATGAGTATGTGGGGCTCATTGGGCACGACAGATCCGTCGACGACTGGTCCGAAGGGCGTGACGAACGCCGGCACTTGGATTGGAATGGACATGAGCTCGGACAGTCGCTTTCGGCGCAGACAAAAGGCCAGTTCGTCGGCTTTTTCGATTAGAGGGCAGTTGACGGCCTGCGCCACTTGGATTGTGTATTTCAGCGGGTTTTTCGTTATTGCCCAGTCAGCCATCGCCGTGCCACTCATCAGGATGGCCCGGTGGAATAAACCTGCAAAAAAATCAAGCGAGTGTAATATTTAAAATTTTTGATCAAGTTGGAATAAATCAGAGATTATCACAAACTGATGACTCGACCGTTCATAAAAAATGCATCAAGAGTGTAAAAATTGCAAAAATAATGAAATAAATTAAATAATTAAATAAAATTAATTGGCAATTTCCAATGACTTTGTAGAGAATTAACAAAATAAATTTCATAACATTGATTAGCTTGAAATTATGAGAAATAACGGGTGTAAGTCTGGGTAAATTTGCAAAATAAATATTGCTTTTACCTCCGTCAGCTTGCGATAATGGCGAGACGAGCAGTAAGTTTGCGCACGCCGCTCCCGTTCCGTGACCCATTAGGGTGACGCTGTTGGGGTCACCCCCGAACGCGGCTATGTTCTCCTTGACCCACTGAAGGGCGGCCACCTGGTCCAACAGACCGAAGTTGCTCACCGTGTTGCTGGTCACGCCTGGCTTCAGAAAACCTGGCCAATAACAAAAAGGAAAAAAAATGTGCTCACCGCGTTCTGTCAGATCAATATAAACCTACCTAGTATGCCGAGTCTGAAATTGATAGTGATGACGACGACGCTGCCGTAGCTGGCCAAGACAGAGCCGTCGTAAGGGTTGCCGCCGTTCCACTCGAGGGACTCGCCGTGGATGAACACAATCACCGGGTACTTGGGCAAATTGCGACCGGCGTTCGCATGACCTGCAAGCAGTAAATAAAACGACGGCTCTAAAGTGGGCAAAAACTGCAGAAAGTGTGCTTACGAGGCTAAACCCATGAAAAGTGGGCCGAACAGTTTTTATGCAGCTCGTTTTGATTAAAGCATTCAATCGAATCTCAATTAACTTGTTAGGAATTTAGTCAAGATTAGGAAACTGCCTTTCCAAAAACAATAAAATAATTTTTCCAAAATTAAAAAAGGGGAGAGTTTAAATAATAACATTATATTGCAAATGATATTATCCAAACATATAAGGTTTAAATTTATCAACAAACGGAGTGGTTCCTATTGGTATATTTCAAATAAAAATGATAATAGTTTTTATTTTGCTAAATATGAAGAACCGAAATTGTCAAAAGATTAATCAGTTTTATTCTCGGCTATGAGTTTCAGGGAGTTGTTCATTAGCACTGTGTGCCTATTTTTCTCCCAACCAATTTTTCACAATTGATTGTTGACTTGTTTGGAGAAAAATAAAATGAATTGAATTATAATAAAATAAGGTTAAAATTTCCTGTATTGCAAAATGTAGTATGTTCACATCAAAAAACTTAAGCAATTTTAACAGGTTCCAACATTAAAAGACATTAAACGGCTCAAAGTATTTTCCGCCCCTAAAGGAAGAACAAATAACTGTTTTTAAATTCGTACAGCAAAACGTGCGAGATCCCCGAGGGAGCTGTGAAAGTGCTGCCCGTCCATCAACAACACAATTGCCAATTAAGAAGGAAATTCCATTCTGCAAAGCGGACAGCATAGCACGTTTCTTTTTTCTTTTCTCTCGTAATTTTTGCGCTACTCTAATTCGCGTTTTTGGCCATGGGCTTATTAAAGGGATTTTCCTGCTGGAACAAAATGCACAAAGGCGCGCGGCGTGTTTGAAAAAAAAGCGGCGGCGCGCGCCAGATTATTTTCGTAATTAGACCGGCGCATTTTTCACAAGAAGCAGAGAGACGGGGTGTTTTTTTGCAGCCCGGCCAATATATGTACACGCGAAAATAAACGTCTACAGATTGTATCTGTCATCGTTTTTGGCAGAGAGTGACACGCCAGCCGCGTCTATTCCCGACAAATGGCAACGGAAAAATATGTATTTATTGTGAGCGAGAGAGCAAAGGAGACGCCTTATTTTCGGCCTTGTTTGCGCAACTTTTCTTCTTTTACGATATGGAGATGGCCCGGGATGCGACGACGTCACTCTTTCGAGAAGAATTGGCAAGTTTTATGACCGTGCACCCAGAACGGAAAAGTTGGTGCGACAATTCATAAATATGAAGGAGAGCAGATCAAGATAGGCTGCTGCCGGCTTTTATTGGATTAAAAATAAGTTCGGTTCTGCGCGAAATTTCTCGGCGTGCATATTTTTACATAACGTTATTCTTTTTTGTCAAGAAGCGAACAAGAAAAAAAGGGGGGATTGATCATCCTTCTTTTGACGTATTTTTAAATGGAAATCTGCTAAAAAAGCGAAATTTTTGCCATGAAATTTTGAAGTGTGCTATAAATTCTTAAATAACGAATTTTTACTTAATTGAAGTAACAATAATTCAGAGCACAGTTGATAAACAATGTGACTTCAAAAAAATCAACATTAATGCTTGCAGGGAAATTTATAATCTCTTGATTAGACTGGCAAAAGCATAAATTTTAAGAATTAATATTTTAACAAGACATTTAGTTTCAGAAATTTATTTATTCAAATTGCTAAAGAAAAAAGAGTTATTAAAAGTTATTAAGTTTTGCGAGTTCGCTGATTTTGATAAAGAAAAGGCACTCTTATTTGAAAATACAATAATATTAAATAGATTTTTATAAGAAATTAAATTATTTGCTTGAAATATTGTACGGTAATTTGTGCTAAATATTTTAAAACATAGCCGATAGAAAAATCTAAGTTCTGTAAAGAGCGAAACAATTAAAAATGTCTCAAAAACCAGAGATTAACAAAATCTTTTAAAATAATATTATTTTCTGTTTTAAAAGGTCAAAGTATTATATTGTTTCATTAGATTTGCATACTTTTTATCATAATTAACATAATTTTTTTTTGCAAATATGAATTTTCGGAATGAACTTGGAAGGAGTACAAAAAAGAAATTAAAATAAAATGCTGATCTTATACCGATTTGGTCCATGTGAAAATAATTGTGTATATTTTAAAATTGTGGAAATACGTAGATGTTTGAGTAGATTGTTAATTTATTTATTACAAGGAATGGAAACTCTCCTTAGCAATAGCGCACTAAATATTGATTGAATTTCAAATGATGCTAGCTAATAATTTTTTTTTATATTTAAATAGGTTGAGCACTCAATTTGCCGGTTAAAAGTCAATTGCAGGCAATCAACTCGTGGTGATATAATTTGCGATTTTGCTCACAAGCTGCTCACTACTCAACACGATTAATGGGCCGCGCGCTGATGTTGATGGTGTGCAATATTAAAATTACTTTCCATGCGCAACTAGGCATCGCGGAGAGAAGCTTTCACATCATCAATTATGCAGTTGGCAAAGTGCATGTCGCTTAATACACCGGTCGTGCATAGCACGCTCTCGAAGCGCCCCCTTTCGGCGAGGCCAATTTCACCCTCGATTATTTTTATTTTCATATTACTCGATTTTTATTACTGCACGGTTTTTGTGCCGCTAAACGCGCTGGCCGACGAGCTCTAATTTTAACCCGGCCGGCTAATTGGGCCGCGCCAAGATTAAAGGCTGTCCAATTTTTAGAAGCAAACGGCTCTTCTGGGTGACATTTATTCGGCCATCGGAACGGCGATTGGCAAAAAATAACGTCCTTTTAATTACATTTAGTGCTTTAAGCAGAGATACGTTGGAACAATGTTCCGGATCAATAAACCCAGGGGATATGGGGATAGGAATCATAGTTTTTAAATTTTTCTGTAATATAGCTGGAGATAAATAAAATGTTGAGCATGTTTAATGGTTTTTGCTCACTTGCGGCGGATGTGGTCTTTTTGATTCCGGAAGTTTCAGCAAAATTCTTGCTAGGGGTGGTGCCGTTTTGTCCAACAATTACTTTTCTTGAAATAAATTATTTTCAACAATTGAATGTAAACAATGTATTCGTAATAATGTAGACAAATAAACCAAAATAATTGTTTTTATTCCTATTATAAATTTCAGGAAAGCAAAAGTTAGCTTAAAATCCCTAGATTTATAGTTAAACTTTTTACAATAATCTCACTATATAAACAATTAAATGCTGGCCATATTGATATTTCCCATAGCCTTAATTCTTATCTTAATTTCAATGCAAATAAATTTTCAAATAAAAAATCCGACAAAATTATGAAATTCAAAATTTGACCTCAAACCTGGAAGCCATAAAGCTCTTTCTTTTAGAATAAATTGAACTTGCAATTGAAGATTTTGATAGTATCGAGTCATAAATCTTTGGAAGCTTCAGTAAGTTGAAACAATTTAGAATTTCAACGCCAAAAGACAAACCTCTCTTTTGGAAGTTTCCAGACTCTTAAAAATCAAATACATAAGTGATCCAGAAATATTGACTGTGATTCTCATCTCTGCGCCGGGGGCAATAAATTTGTATTCAATATTTACAAAGAAGCAAATTAGCTGAAAATTATGAGAGTACTCGATTAAACATTCCCTCTTTCACAGCACAGCGCGCAGTTTAAACAAAACCTTCATTTATTTATTACGCTGAGCTACATTATACGTAATATCGCAACAAAAGCGGAAGCAAGGAAACTTTGTTCAGTTCTCTCTCTCTCTCTCTCTCTCTCTCGCTTCGTCTACAGCAAAAAGAGCAAACATTTGTTGAACCGACACTGAAATGCAAAACAACACAGCTGCAGTAATAATTCCGACGTAGATTTGTCTCTTCTTTCTTTTTCGGAAAAACGACGAAGAGGAGCTGGTTGGGACTGTCGCGCAGAAACGCCTACGCAACACACCGCGGCGGAAAATAATCGTTGTCTTTCCCTGACAGCTCGGCTTCATAGCTTATTATGAAACGCCCGCCGTCTTGTTATCTTAAGCGCGCGCGTAACAAATGTGTATGCGAGACAAGAAGAGCAACAGTTCCAACTTTTATATTATTACGAGGGCGTGTTATTATTATTATAATTCGGGCAGACTTTGAAAAAGATCAAAGCGATACGCCACGGTGCACATTATTCTTCCGAAGTGCGATTTTGAAAATTTATTCTCTGACTCGATTTCCTTCCTGATGTAATTTTAAGTGTGCGCTTTTGTGCAACACTTTTAAGCGAGCGAGAGAGGCGCTTTTATGCGCGTCAGAGACCCGGCAAATGGGTGCTTGGAGCGCGCGAAAAGCAGCCATAGGTGAAAACGGTGTCAGCAAAAGCACCGCGTGTAAAATCATAAAAAGCACATCGTAAATTCGCAGAAAATGGAATTAGGAGAGGGTGCTTGCGAGATAAACATCTAGTTGTGCGCCGAACCCGCAACTCTCCGGTGATGCGTGCAAATGCGTGGTCGCGTTAAACTTTATGGCAAATCAACGCCCCCTGAGAGTTTAATTGGAAAATTCGCCAAACCTAGGCAGCTGTTGGTGTTTATCTATAAAAAAAAAAAAAAAAAAAAAAAATACTAGTAACCAAAAACTTGCTTACAAGAGAAAAAGCAAATAAAGAATTTTAGAGTTTTTGGTTGTCATTTTACAACATAATATAAATTAATATCAGAGGCAAATTATTTATAATATGAAATAAATTTTGGGGTTAGGAAAGATCGCCTTTAATTGTCAAAAAAAGAAAAAAGACTAATAAATCCTAGTTATGCCTTTAGAATTAAATAAAATTGAGGTGTTAGAAGAACCTTTTTGGTAAAAAAATCACCATAATTCAACAATATTTTATCACTTTAATTAAATAAAAATTAATTTTTCCTCCTTTTGAGATTTTTCACATTCAATCACCTACAAAGATTAAAATTTCAACGAAACCCATCAATAAAAAAAATCAGCACAAAATAACGCAAAATACTAAATTTGGATAAAAAAAATATTTTCAACCCATTTCAGCTAAAAAAAATCACCTCAATTGTTGCCTTTTTTTGCAACATAAAATCTCAATTTTTCCAATTGTTGTATTGTTTGGTTTTACTAAAACACGTCATCTAAAATACTTGAAATTTGAAAAAAGTAGCAATAATAATTCTGCTTCCATTATTACTTCTTATCATGGTGACAAAAAATGATTTTGTATTTTGTCGACCATTTTGGCCAAAAAGTTTTATTAGTACTCAAAAGAATTTTACGCAAGGTTTTCCTCTTCTGCTTTTATAAATATCTCGTGTGTACAAAATGACATTTTATTCCCAGTGCGATCAAACCCTAATTTACAAAAATAATACTTGAGCGCCAAAGAGCCCTTTTGGAAGCGGCTAGGCCGTGTTTTGCGTCAAACACTTGCTTTTGTTTTTATCTACCTTTGGCAAACAATTGCTTTTTTATAGCTAAACTTTGACACGCGCTCAAAGCAACTTTTTTGATAAAAGCCTCCGGCCAATAAGTTTACTTCAAACGAGACACGCTGTTGCGGCGTAAAAAAAAGCGCCGATCGCTTGGAGACGCTCGCATTTTGTGTGCCGGACCCAAACTCAAACTTTATTTGTAGTTTTGGCCCGACGGAGTTAAGAGCAATGTGTGGGGGTGGGCGGACGGACGGACGGACGGGCGTCGTTACAGCGCCACCAGCATTTGGCACCACAAGCCAAGCGCAAAATTTCATCTTTGCCGCCGGCTCTGCGAGTGCACACTTGGAAAAGAAATAATACCACGGATGTGCCGTGATTTGCAAGCAAAGTGCCGGCAGGCAGGACTTTTTTTCTTTCAAGCAGAGACTTCTCCATTTTCCATATTTAGAAGAGATGCTCATTTTTGCAGAACAAAAAAAATTAGCAACGTGACTCTTGCCGCCCATATCCATTTACGTTTAGCATGAGGAAAAATGGTATGAAAAGAAAAATTGAAATCTTGTTTTTGTTTTACCTTGATATACATTTAAGAGCAATTTTTTAAAGAGTTTGTTCCAAAATTTTCCTCACGCATTAATATAATACAATATCGTGTGTTGTAGGAATAACTTGCATTCGAGCAAGGGAAATGAACATTTTTCTTTCTTTCAAATTCTTGAAATCAAATTAAAAAGTTGGAAGAATATTGAATAAAATTGAATTCTAAATCGTCGGCTACGCGGCCAAATGGCCGATCTGGTAAATACCTCTGTGGGGAAAATGGCTAGTGGCCACTTTCCCCGTTGGGGAAAATGGCAGATGAGCCTTTTTTTAAATTTTACAGGAGAAGCAAAAAACTGATTATCTGCTCCAATTTTCAATGTTCAGATTTCAAAATTTGAACCAAAGTTCAGCATGTTATTGCAGATAATTTGGTAGACTTAATTTTCTTTTAAACCTTAATATACACCTGTTGTAAGAAATTTAAAGGGAAGTAATTCCACACTGAAAGAGTAAAACGTACAATACAATCGAAATTAAACCACTTATGCGATTATTTCCTGCTTTTCTTTGTTCAATTTAACTTGATAATAATATTTTATAATATAATTTTATTTAAATTCATCGTTTTTTATAATATTTTTATTATTTTATTTTATTTAAATTAATTTAAATTTTATTCTTTTATTTGCACAATAGTAAACAATTTTGGCATTAAAAGCATTTTTTTCTTATTTCACATGACTCGGCGTCACTTCTAATTATAATCTCATGAATAGTTTTACTGATACTTTCTATAAATTGCAATAATTAGTAAAGTAAAATCTAGCTCGGATACAACATAAAGCTTCTGGTTGCATGTCAAATATTGTAATAAAAAAATCTATATTTTACTATTTATTTAATTTTCAAATTTTATCTATTTTAAAGAATTATTTGCATTATCATGCAAAATGCATGAAAAAGCTATCACTTTCGAATACAATATTGACGAAACTTCAGCTTATTCTGATATTTTACTTCTTACTTAATGTTAGGTATTTTATTAAATTTATTAAAATTTTATTTTTATATTTTTTATATTTTCATTATTTTTAACATTTATGGCATTTAAAACAATTTTGGCATTATTCAGCAAGCGGGAATGCTGCCTGCTTGCTGTGGAACTTGGCAAGGGGGCGTGGCACTGCCTTACTTTTGCTCCCCGAACTCGCGATAGTGAGACATCTACCGAGAAAGTTGATACTTTTATGGTTGTTTCTGATGCAGATTTTTACACTGAATGCATTGGAACAATAAAAAAAATTTGTCCGGAAATGCTCATCTGCCATTTTCCCCAACGGGGAAAGTGGCCACTAGCCATTTTCCCCACAGGGGTATTTACCAGATCGGCCATTTGGCCGCGTAGCCGACGAAATGTAAATTTTAAATAATAATCTTTTTTCCGCTTTTTTCCACCAAGGCCTAAATAATTATTTTTAAATCTTTCTATTAAATTTTATTCAATTCGGATAGTTGCGTTAAAATAACTTAATATTTTTAAAATGTACTTTTTTATAATATTTTCGAGCAATAATGAAAAAAAAAATTCTTTTTATATAACTGATGAACCTTGCATTATTACCATTTTTTTTAATTTTTGTTTTCTCCTTAGTATTAGCAGTATGATTTTACGAATATTCCAAACGCAATTTAATATGAATAAACTGCATTTGATTCTAACAAAGTAATTATGGGGCGTTGGAATTTTTTTAACGATAGCAAAATTACACAAATTTACCTGATTGTGAGGTGCTGGGTGCGTAGATGTTGAGGTACAGACAATCCTCGCTTTGGTTTCGCAAATAGGGCAGCAGCCTCTTGAGGTAGTGGAAGCGACCGGCCGACATGGCCTTGAGCGCCTCCTTCTCGTTAGAGATGTCCGGCGGCTTCTGGGGACACACGGGCCCGAAACTGTCAGCCTGCCTGACCCCGGACCACGGGGGCGGTGACCCCGGGGGCATGAAACGCTGCGTGCCGACTGGCGGAGCCGCGTATGGGATGCCCAGGTACACGTTCACGTTGCCGCGGTTCGCGTTGCTCGACTTGAGCACGATGCCGCGGATCTTGCCCTGCTTTATCACAATTTCGCGCGTCGTCGGGATGCTGGCCGGTTCGCTGGCCGCCCTGCCCTCAGCCGCCAGCGTCGTCAGCACCGCCATCACAAACCACAACTTCATCTTCGCGAAAAAAGATTTCCACACACTTGATTATACTCGGAGGAAAAACAGCGAAGTTTATTTTTAGGGGCAGCCGGAAATTTGTAACAAAGAAGAATTTCACTGACAGAGGGGTGAGGCGAAACTTTGCTTTCTCGGGCCAAAATCCTTATTCTTCGTCCTCTCTTCTTATCACACAAAGGCGTCGCCGCTCCCCTAATGAAATTTCGGGCCAAACATCAAAGTTGAGGAACACACCTAGCTGGGACTTAGTTCGCAGTCAGCAAGTTCGCACAAACACGAGGAGTCGATCGCGGTCGCAGACAAGCCTCGGCTGGAGCCACCTCATTTTGCCGAATCGAGCTTTGTCCCGTCTTCGCTCAAACTGCGAGAGGCCAACGTTTCTCTCTCTCGCTGTGTCGGCCGCTTTATTTGTAAAGGGGCTAAAAATAGGCCCCATTCCTGCAGTGGCGCGCGGCCAAATGGCTGATTTGTGTGATGCGCGCTCGCTCTCGTGGCCCCGCGAGCGAGTACTCTTACTACAGAATTTTTTTTTTCAGTACGCCCGGTATAAAAAATTATTTACTACGGGGTGGTTTTCGCCGCGCATGATCCGCCCCGGTCCAGCTTCTTCTTCTCTATTTATTTACAACTTGACACAATTCTCCTCGCCGAAGGGGCGAGAAACAATTTCGCCTCAGATATATAGAGTAATGAAAAAAAATTGGCCGAGCCAGTGGCGTTCGTCGCTCGAATTATGATTAGAGCAAGTCTCGCAGCCCCGGGGCCATCTCTCCTGTTAAAAAGCTCATTTCTGCCTCTTTCGTCCGCGAAAATTGCTTGACGTCACCGTCCGTGAAGATGGATCTCGTCGTCAAGGTGATCCGCGCGCACGCGACACATCATTAAACGGGCCGCTCTTTTCGAAAAAGTTGTTCGACGCGCAACATAAACATCACATACGAGTGAGTATTTCGGCCTGTCAAACTCGCGAAAACACGGATTTGAAACGCTTTGATGCTGGATTCGCCTGGATTTATTGCTGCTCTCTCGTTACACTCTTGCCTCACGAAAACGCACAAAAATATAGAATACGTGGCCCTATTGAAAAAAAGAGCCTTCTCAGAAAATATTTTGTTGTCAAGTGAATAAACTGCCGTAGTTGTTGCTGATCCATATCATAAAAGGAAGTAGTATAGAAGAAAAATTGTAAAAGAAACGATACACATGGAATGCACGTTCCATTATTTTTTCAAGTGGCTATAAATTCTCGTCTGCCATTTGTTGAGTTTATTGAGTTATTTGCTCCCAAAATATCGATTAAGAAATGAATGTATTAAAATTGATAAAACTCAATTTTGATTAAAGCAAACATAAATCATTAACGTTGGCTTTTAAGCTGTTTAAATACATTTTTTGATAATGATAGCATTCTGTCGATAAATTTTCACTATTATATATATTTTTGTTGTTTAACAACTACATATATTTGATCAAAACATTTATGTAAATTTCCTAAATAAAAAAAAAAAAAAATTCTGCATCTCTGTTAGTGCTGGTCTTGTTTATTAATTAATAATCTAAACACTTGTCCTACAATCCTAAAATGAACTAAATATTCCACAAATCTGAAGGCACTAAATATCAAATTAGATTTGCCCCAAATTTTTATCAACCGAAATAACAAATTTCCGAGAATTTTCAAATTATTCAGAGCCGTAAAGCAATAAAGCGGCTGATTTCAACGATAAATCACGCTTTTGTTAGAGCTCTTTACATGGAAATGATCGAGGAACAATATCTTAACAACCCAGCGCACTAAAATATTTATCATGCTCTCCGCCGTTGTATATTCTACCGCAAAAATTCGATCTCGTGTAGCGCTCTGCTTCCAAAGTCCATGCTGAAGAGAGAAAAGGGTCTGTGCTTTACGGCCGGGCTGCTGCTCGGGTTTTGCGCTAACAAGGTGGTATGTTCGAGGAGAGAATCGATTCGATTTTGACGCGACTTGGCACGCAACCTGCTCATCTTACCAGACCATTAATCAAAACGCCGCAATCCCGTCGATTCTGAACCTATAGAAAAATGGGCAGCATAAAACATACAGTTGGATTTTTTTTTATTTATGGAAATGTGTAAAATATGCACACAAAAAGAGACACAAGACTCAAGTCATTCATTTTGATAGATTTGATAGAGACAACATTACGTTCACAATGCCATTCATATTAAATCATGATAATTAACGTTATAAAATCGTTCAAATACTATTAGATGAAGATATTTGGATTTTATTCCTTTATAATAATGGAATACTATTTTGAGCTGAAATTTTCAGCCCATTGTGTATGCAAGTTGAATACAAAATCTAAATCCGTTAAAACAGGCATCATCCAGACACCCACGTGACCACAAAAATGGTAAATGTTGTTTTGAAAATACCTCATCGTTGGCAACATGCTAAACATCGGATTGCCTGATTTAAAATATTTGCCGAAGTTTAAAAAAAAATGAAGATTTGGAAGCCCTTCCCTTAAGAGAAATGAAGAATTTTCCAAAATATTAATATCTGTTGATAAATTGCGCTCAGCCATTTTCACCCAGCATGAACTATGTATAAAAAAGGGCGGATTCTAGAGTAGTAAAATTAAGAATGATTTTAAATATTATTTATTTTTCAAAAATTCGTTGATTTTAAGTGTAGATAAAAGTTGAAATTCAAGAGTATGAATTATTTCATATATTGCTGGGTTTTTTTTAAAACTTGGAATTAGCCAAAAGTATCATTGAATTAAACGAGAGCAGGTATGAAGCTGGGCCACTTTTGTCGTAATGTATTCAAAGTTATGCATCCCGCGTGGCAGCTGTGCACAGACATTGCCTAACTGCTTCCCATCTCTTTCTCTCTCACCTCTGTTCGGCTGCTGTAAAACGGCGTGTCAATGAGGGTGGCTCTCCTCGTCAGATTGGGCCCATCGTGCTGAATTACTTACAAAGGTCGTTTAATGATTGATTGCTGCTCGCGTATAAAAGTTTAAAAGTCTTTTTTTTTGTGCCTTTGCGAAAAAGCAACTATTTCCGATGATCGGAGGAAACGCCGACGGGGCTCATTGGAATGAAAGGGGTTCTGCCTGCGTCATCGAGCGCGATGTGGAAATATCTCTTGTCGGCCGTGGCATTATCTCCGCCGCCGCCACCGGGATTTGTTTATTCTGAATGTGACATGGCAGAAAATGAATAAAAAGCTGCCAGTTCGGCGCACGCCTGATGATTATTTTGAATTGCTGTTGAATAAATCCCTAACGGCCGCGGCGAACGCGGCCAACTTTCGATTTGCATTTCCACAACCGCAATCAAATTCATTAATCCGACGCCATAACGCAATCAATTTTATAATTAAAACAATCCTAGAGGAAACAAAGAGTAATTCCTTCTGACAGCCAAGCAAAGAAGACAAAATAACTGAAACAGCAATTTCAACCGTCATCAAACGAACAAATAAGTTGCTAAAATTTTTCAATTCCATGGAAATTTTTTGATGTTGTAACTATATGCAAAAATTAATTTTTGCTGTTTTAATTTATTTTCACCATCCATAACCTACTTCAAATCATTAAATATCTTCCATCATTTACAGATTATCATAAAAATTGTTGATATAAAATATTTTCATCTAAAAACAGCCCAAAAACAAAAAGTTTGTCTGATAATAACCTGTTTTTCCCTGTTTTTTTCCCGCGCCTAACAGCACTTAAATTGTTTTTCCTATTTGTGAGGTCAGATTTCCACCAAAATTTTTGATTTCATATTATAAACAAAATAATTTTGCATCAAAATACTCAAATATAAAAAGTTTTTTGTTGCTTTTGTTTCAGTTTGACGTGACTCCTGTCTTTCCTACATATCATTCACTGAATATCAATTTTGAACTCGCGTATGGCGTCTCGGAAGTCCCAGAAGGTAATAACGCGCAGCCTTATGTGCGAAGAGCGACAGACGAAAAATTCTTCAAGTGGAAAAGTCTGGCGGGAAAGCAGTCGGCACGGGGAGTTGTCCGCAGACTCCCCAGATGAGATGTATTGACATATTTCGCGTTTTGAGCCGAGGTGAATCACCGCGCAGCCTGCATGAATATTTCTGCTTTGAGAAAGCCTGAATACGGGCGAGCTTTGTTCAAACCAGAAGAAGAATTCTCTCTTTTGGAAAAAAAAACTCCCGCGGGACGTACGCGAGGTGCATTAGCATAATTTGACCCAACTTGGCGAAAAATGTGCAACTTTTAATGGAGATTGGGGCGAGCCAACCTTCCTTCCGAGTTATGAACTGATCCGTTGCCAGATCTGGTGCGGCCTCGTTTCTCTCTCTCCAAATTGGTTTCATGCCGACTGAGAGGGATGATCAAGGAATTCACAAATCCAATCGTGCTGAAAAGACGCGAGGCGCCGCCGAGCGAGAAATACACACAATTCTGGGAAAACTCGAGACGAGCAACTGCGGATAAATAGCTGCGGGCCATTATTTGCTCAAGCCCAAATTTTGTTTTTGCAGCTCTGCGTGGGTTCAGCAGAGTGTGTGTTTCCTGTAATTTAGCCCGCGCCGGAAAATTCTCCACTGTGGCGACGAGTTTCGGATCGAGCGTGGTGATTCCGCCACCGCAGTGTGTGTCGACTGTTATCCAAACATGGATGCTTGATGGAAATAAAACGAGGGTGAAATTTTGGTAAAATCATCGGCCGACGGACATGGAAATTAGCTATTTACAAACGCGAGATCACTATTTAGCCAGACCTCATACAAAAACTGCAACCGTCGATGGTGAAATTCGGGTCGCAGTTATTTCTCTCAAATTAATTTACTTGCCTAGACATTAAACACTGAACTTAGAGCATCCTCTTGTGTATATTTTTCTACTTTTGGTTGAAAAATTGACCTATAAAAAAATTATTTTCCTCATTTTTTTTTTGCAAACTTATAAGTTTTATATTAATTTTTAATCATCCTTACCACATGAAACACAATTTCAGGATAATATTTAGGAACCTTTTCGACATCTAAAAATTTGGCCAAGTAAGGGACTCCCTTAAATTCAGTCAAGAGGTGTTGGAAGCGAAATTTCGCATGTCCACACGCACAGCAAAAAAGCAGCTTTGCTCGATTGCACAAAGCCTATTGACACGCTCTTAATTTAGATAATGGACTGGCGAATTCAGCGAAAAACATTAAAACTTTGGCCGCCTTGATTAAAGTCAAGTGTCTGATGTGGTAGACAGACAGGTCGAATCCCAATGAAGTGCTGCTGACGGTCATTATTGCGACAACAATGGCAGTCGCAAATGTCGCGCCTGCAAATCCAATCCTCTTTGCGCGCTAAGTTTTAGAGCTTCATTTAGAATGAGAACCA